GACTCCATGTCTCTATGGTTCTATACCAAGATCGACTAAGGCGAGTACGACAAATGTTGACAAGGCTCCGTCGCAGACTCTACGCCTTCTCGATCGTTCGAGAACGGTTGCTGGATCTCGACAAGGAATACGGAATGAAGAGATGGTGTACCTGCCGAGATAAAATTTCTTGACTTCAATTCAAATTCTCGATTACAGCAAGACGGAAGACTTAGTCGTACGCTATGTACTTCCTTGGTTGACATCGGATATTGACTCAGACAAACCCTTTAGGTGCCCGCACGAGGCTGACAAAGGAAGTCTAAACGTTATCTCTGAACTCACCGAGAACGGTCACATGAGCTCGATAACAGTTACTCCAGGGTCTGCGGTTGAGAATATAAATACGTTCATTTGCATTGAAGTCGGGGGCTACTGTCAGGGTTATGGATACCACATACCTAATAGTAGTCGACTACATCTCGGCAGGACCCACCACATACCATGTCCTATACAGAAACAACCTACGGATATGGAGGGAGTTCCGGATAAAGAAAGACAACCAGAGTTCTACATGGAAACGACCAGGACTACTCGGATTGTATCCATATTGGTTTCCCTAGTTCTACTTGGACAAGGGGACACCTATAGGTATAAATACAAGACCCCCTAGGAGGAGAGGGGAGACAAGACAATCGACAGACGATCGACACGATCAACACGGTCGACACGATCAACATGATCGAGACCCACCACAATCAACAACCAACACAATACACGAGACAACATACAAGCCAACATACGCCAAGACACGCCGCCGGATATCGACTTCAGGGATAGGCATGGCTATTCCCCTACGGTGTCTCCGGATACCGTCAGGAGAGACGAAAGCGCTATCTCTGATCTCGCCAGACACGTATTCGAGGAGGAAGGCTACCTTGTTGTCAACTACAAGTCAGACCGTCAGACCACCATGTCGACAACAGTTAGATAGGCTACCCCACATATTGTACTGGTGTGATTATGGTGAATAAAAAGCAACTCCGGCTCTGGCCAACAGGATGTAGGGTTATTACCTGACAACTCAGGGGCCTGAACCTGTATAAAAATCCCTGTCTCCGTCTCTTTTACCTCAGTCTCGCGTATATCCTAGCACCGATGATCCCCATACCATGCAAATACCAGAATTGCGACATCAAACGTCGACAGACTAGCTAGATGTTAATTGGAGAGACAAATCTCAGCAAGGCAACGTACCCAAAATCCATCTTCCGGGTTTCTATATACAAATTCCCAAATGGTATGAAAGAAGGGGAAAAAAGGAAAAGATAATGGTATGAAAGAAATTCCCAAATGTCCAAGCATGCCCAAACTAAATATTAGATAATTTCTTCCAGCCATATACAGCAGTACTCCAATCAACGATTATTTCTCCAAGTGACCGGCTCCTGTAACCACCAGAAGCCTGACACACACCATGACTGGAGATGGCGCGCAAGATGAACAAATGGCGATACTGCTGATCAAGACGGCGCCATGGAACCTGCTGATAGCCAAGATGGTGCAGTGATCAAGGAAGCACGTGCACGCGACAAGAAGAAGCGCGGCGATAGGAAGAAACTAGAGAAGAAGAAATGGATGGACTACAACACAAGGGAGGCATCAAGACAGCGTCTCAACCAATAGACCGACGTGGGCTACGAGATATGGTTCCAAATCCCCGAGTCCACGGGCCGGCCTGAATGGGCCAAGTGACTAGGCCTTAAGCATGCCAGACACGCGCGCGAGAGAGAGGATGCGTCCGTAGTACAAGGATAAAACCGTAAAAGGTTAAAAAGGATAGAACACAGACTAGAATTACGCGGAGGCATTGGTGGCAGTGGCTCGATCCTATTGGATCGAGAGAAAGTTGTATGCATATTCATCTACTCTTCCAGTTAATTGAGCGAGTCCCAAGAGATTTCTAACAATCTAGAATCAGAGCTCGTCAGTGTGGAAACACTCTTGGCTCGGTTGTAAAATTCATGATCAAGGATTGGAGATATGCTCTTTCGAGTATATTCCGCGAAAAGGCAAATTGCCTTGATCTAGTTGACTGAGTCCGGAATGAGGGATTCAGGCCTTGATTCGTCATCTGCATCTCACAAGGAAGCGATGATGACGCAGGATTTGAGTCTGGATAGCAAGTTCGATCTGCTCCTGAAAACAACTGGGGAGAATGAGAAGAAAAGGGTGGAGGCAGAGGAGAGATCTTGAGCCCACTTCCTGGATATCAAGAGGGTGGAAGAGAAGTCTCAAGTTGACTTCCATGAACTCAAGAAGGCGGTCAAAGTGAGGCTTCCTCAAGTGGAGAAGTAGGTGGGAAGTTATGTGTTGGGGGGCTTTGAGTACCAAGGTCGAACACCTAGAGGGCAACATGCTTTGTTAGGATCAGGGAGACAAGGCGTCTGCCATGGCAGTCATGAAGAAGGAGTACGACATGGATTCAGCGTTCTTATAGCCCACACCTCTGATCCATGGTACGTGCAATCTAAGTCTTAACTCCTTGTTCCTTTTGGCGTAGATTTTAGCAGATCGTCAATCAAGAGTATCTGGAATACCAATTGGGTTGGCCGGAAGTGTCCCTCTTATGACATGTTCACAGTTCAACGGTGACAACCTGTAGATAGGGGTGGACAGAATAAGACCGAGACCGAGAAAGTCGGTTAGTAGTTCGGTCTTAGCTATTGAAAGACCGAAATTTATTCGGGCAATTCAGTCATTAGCCTCGGTTGACCGAAGCTCAATAGGCCAAGTAAACCAAACCCTAGAGGCACTCAGCCACAGAGGAACCGCACTCTCCCTGTCTCCCACAGGCCACAACGCCGCGTCGCCGCCTCGCCCATCCATCGCGCTCGAGCTCACGCAGCGTGGACCCGCGGTCACGTCGCCTCCGCCTCCATCACACCGGCGCTGCCTCCACCCTCCACCTCCATCGCGCCGCTGCGCCACCTCCGCCCTCCAGCCAGCCTGCCTCCACCTCGCCGCCGCCTCCAACGACATCGAGCCCACCTCCGCCTTGATGCCGCCATCGCACCACCTTCATCTCCAGCCAGCGCGCCTCCGCCTCGGCGCCTCCATCCCGCCGGCCGCCTCCGTCTCCATATGGCAGGTCTCGGTGTCAGCAGGAATAGGGACAACAGGAGATGGCAGGATTGCATCTGGTGGAGATCGACGGGATCCAATCATGAAGCTTGATTTGCCTTTTCATTTTTTTTCTCTCTGAATCTTTTTAATTTGCTAGTCGCGTGTGCAAATTCTGAGATGCTTCATCTATCTATTGATCTATTGAGTTGCTTTTTTATTTGTCGACCAAATATTTGATGTTTGTTTTTTGTGATTTTTTTTGTTTTGACCACAGATCATACATATAATCAATAAATAACATCAACACTTTATATCAATATATACTAGCATATATCTATTAGTCCACATGGCCGGCAGGGGTGAATCCAAAGGTGGGTACCGGAAGGGGGTCAAGCCCTCCTTCCCCGTTGGATCCCCATGCAGGAGGGGAGAGGAAGACAAGTAGGGGGTTAGCTAGAGGAGCAAGAAGAAAATGAGCTCCCTCAAAGTAATCTTGGATCCTTTCCTGATGAAAAGAATACAATATTACCATTCATCCACTAATCATCACCTTAGACATGCAAAATTATATTGATTAGTTTTACTTAGGTCTACATATATAGTGAACGGGGACGAAGGATCACTTGTGTCCCACCAGACCTGAGATGGGGACTTGTTCTGTTGTTCCCCCATTTGATTTTTCATGAAGAATCAACTTAACCATCCCTATACGAATGGAAAATTTTCCCTTGCGAAAACGTGGAATAGGGCTCCATTGACATCTCTATCTTTGCTAGTGAGGCCCAAGTGCACATCAAAAGAAGGCACTAGTTTTTTGACATGAATAGCAAGGGTGCGTTTGGAAGTTAGGTTCACATCTTCTACTCTCTCTCGTTTTTCCGCGCATCTGTTTTTAAACTGTTAAACGGTGTATTTGTTAAAAATATATATATATGAAAGTTGTTGTAAAAATAATATCAATCTATTTTTCAAGGATTTTGTAAGTTAATATTCAATTAATCATGTACTATTGAGCCACCCCGTTTTCCGTGTGTATAAAGGAGAGCTTCCCAACCCCTCCTCGCAATACACACCCTAAGTGAAGATTTGGGGTCGTAAGGTGAGTTTTGATTTGGCATATTAGCAACACGTAAAACAATACAAGCTATTAGCGTAGATTAATCGAGCATACAATTTTTTGTTAAAAATTGTACCATTTAGAAAGCGTGCAGCCCCATCGTTTGGTATATTAGAGAAAAAAAAGCGAAACGCTATATTTACAAATGAAAAATAATTCGTGAATAAAACTTTTATATACGTATTCTTAACTATCTAAAAGGAAAGGGTGAAAAATAAACTACGATGAAAAAACCCTAAAATCAGCTTTAAATTTAATGTTAAAAATTTAAATTTTAACTGATAAGAATAAGTATAAATAAAAAGACGAGCAGATGCTGGTGTTAACGAAAACGTAGCGTTATTGTTTGCTTACTCTTAATTTTAAAATAAATAAATCTAGTATATAATATAAATATGTACGAAGATATTTGTTTGTTTTAAGAGCAAGTTGGCTTATAGTTTATATTAGAGTTAACATGTACAGTAAATGAGCTATAAGGTTATCTCCTTTTTTCTCCTCCTCTCTCTATCTCTCACATATGCATTTTATGTATTTATCTTAAAGTATGTGAATAGCTAGCTCTTGTATAAGAGCCAACAACCCTCTCAGTTTTTTAAATTCTTTTTCCTCCACGTAAATTTATAGTTGACTTATAGCCTATTATTATACTTGGTGAGGAAGCCTCCGAATCGATAAGGCAGGTAAGTACTGCTCCAGTACGTAAAGTCCACCTTATTATTGGCACCATCGTCATCCATCCAGCAAGCCAACCGGAATAACTACTACTGCTGCTGCTGTTGCGTTGGAGTACCAAAGGAGGAGGAGGAGGAGGAGGAGGAGGAATAATCTTAGAGTCTACTAGACTCACACACTAGCTTTAGCTTAGCTAAAAGAAGAAAAAGAAAAGAGAGGCACAATAATAGGTTAGGCATGGCGGAGCAGCTGGGCGGCGTGGGCAGCCCGCAGCTAAGCCTGAGCAGCTGCAGCTCCTTCCTTTCCATCTCCAGCGCCGGTACCAGCGCCGCCGATGGTGCTCCCCATCTATCCCTCGGCGTGGGCGGCGCCGAGGAGCTGGATCTGCTGCTGCAGGTGGGCATAGGCGGTGGCGGTGGCGGCGGCGGCGACGAGGAAGAGGAGGAGCGCAAGACCATCCGGATGATGAAGAACAGGGAGTCGGCGCTGCGCTCCAGGGCAAGGAAGAGGGTAAGAACCTCTAATCCATTTCCTCATACTATCTAGTATAGTACTAGCTACTCTATTAATTAATCTCTCGGATGGATAGATGGAGTAGTATTTGGTTCCACACTAGTACTAGTTAGCTAATTGCATGAGCTTAATTATGTGCGCGGATGGATGTATAGGCGTATGTGCAGGAGCTGGAGAAGGAAGTTCGCCGGCTGGTGAATGAGAATCTCAAGCTCAAGAGGCACTGCAAACAAGTTAACTTCGTATTCCCTTCCCTAATACTTTTATTACTAATAAGTCGATTCATCACTCTACATTTCCAATCCATCTTTTATGTATATATATGTATGTGCATAGAATCCTTTGATTTTACTACAGGTATATTGTAATAATAATGCACTATATCCTATGCAGCTTAAGACGGAGATGGCTGCTCTGATCCAGCAGCCTACCAACAAGCAGAGTTCCCACCGAAGAAGCTCATCCACTTGATCAGAACGCAGCAGCTTAAGCCTTTAATTAATTAAGCATAGGCAAGGTAGCGGGCAGCCATTGGATTGGGGACCATTATTTAATTGGGTTGGCTGTCCAGCTCCAGCAAGAGTCTCTAGCAAGTAACAACAACTCACTCTGATCCGCCGGCTTGGCTTTCCATGCATTCCGGTAGTACGTAAGTACTCTATTTTGTTACTGTGTCGATCATCCGCTACACATGGATGCATACATGCATGCTTAATTGTTTGTGTCACCGGCTAACTTTTGCATACCCTTGTTTGCTTGCTTGCTGCAAGACCCAAATTAATATAAATTGTATGAGACTCGGATTAGCTGCTATCAATTGCTCCATCCGTTCCATAAAAAAACGAATCTATAACCGAATGTGGCATATTCTAGTACTATGAATCTGAACATATGTATGTTCAGATTCGTAGTATTAGAATATATCACATCCGGTACTAGGTTGACTTTTTATGGGATGTAATGAGTATAGTTTCATGCACGCCTGCACTTGTGTGTTGCCTATAAATTCAGTTTTGCATGCACTTCACCAATGAATTACTGATCACTTTCTTGGGTACGCGGTGATCATGTGTTTGGCCATCCATCCAACGCATGCCTTGCCTTCGTGTTCGTGCATATCCCTTCTTTCTATGAAGTAGTTAAGAATAGATCGTAAGTGTTTTTTTCATAAAAAATAAATTATCTGCGCATCATCGTCGGTTTCATTGATCTCAACTCTTACGTACAATGAATATAGATAGGAGTCTGTCTAGATTCGTCATTCATTATACATACGTTTGTTTTTTTTTTGGACGTTTTGGGACGGGAGAAGTACGGTGGAGAAAGGGTGTAGCAACATGTTGCTCAATAACGGTGCGCTGCTTCTGGGAGGAAGATTATATATGATGTCATGTGGAGAAGAACAGTTTTGCTATACATATATATATGACGGGTGTGGCTACATGCCCCTGCCCCTTATACGCACGGATCTCTCCCTTCCTCCTCCCCTCTTTCTCTTTCTGCTATAGTATACCATAAAAATTTTAAAAAAGTTGAGAAAAATTTATGCATAGAAATACTATATATAAAGAATATTTGAATTCAAATTCAAATTTAAATCAGATATATAAACTTTTAACTTATATGTGTAAATTTGAGGTGTACAAACTTTAGGTGTATAAATTACCTAAATTTTGGGTTTCTAAACTTTATATGTGTAAATTTGAGGTGTACAAACTTTAGGTGTATAAATTTATTAAAATAGGAAAATAATATGGTGATGAAAAAGGAAACCACGTGGCGAGAGGGGGACAGCGCCGTCTTTCCGATATACTCCCTCTGTTTTTTAATAGATGACGCCGTTGACTTTTTTCTCACATGTTTGACCATTCGTCTTATCAAAAAATTTTATGCAAATGTATAAGATATAAATCACACTTAAAGTACTATGAGTGATAAAACAACTCATAACAAAATAAATTGTAATTACGTAAATTTTTTGAATAAGACGAATGGTTAAACATGTGAGAAAAAGTTAACGGCGTTATTTATTAAAAAACGGAGGTAGTATGGTGCCACATTTTTCTTTAATCGTTTTTTAGATGGTGATTTAACAGGCTGATTTGCGATTAGTTTGCCATGCTTTTCGGATTGGGAGGTTTGCGGTCAGAATAATCCGTGCAGTTTGATTCTCCGCGTGCTATCTTTTTTGTGTCTTTGCTTAAAAAATGTGATTTTCTTGACCATATGAGAAAACTACAATGTAGGATTTGAGATTTATATTAGTATAATTTAAAATTATTACTGCAAATATAACAAACTTGTAGTTAAGATTATGGAATTCACAGTATAAATACACGTTGAAAATTTTAACCGTCTTTTATGAAGCTGTGAGATTATGCCATCGTTAAAAGTGCGCTTTGATAAAACACCATCTTATAAATGGGATTCACTAAAATGCAATTCTCAAACAGTGTTATGTACTAAAATACCATATGCCTCTTGCATGGACGAAAATGTGCCTACCTTTACTTCTCTCTCACCTCTGGTGTGACAAGGAAACAATGGTGGTGGCGAGGCACGCTGGTGAGAAGATAGCAGCCTCTTCCAGCTCATATGCTAGGGGCTTCCTATCTCGCGAGCTCGTGCCGGGAGGCAAGTCGTGCGCAGGGGCTCCCCCCACCCTTATCTGTCTCCACCCCTCTATTTTCTCTCTCATTTATATCTTTTCCTCGGCCCCTCGATGGCAGTTTGTGGATGGAGTGGTGACGATACCAACGGCCAAGTTCCTTGCATCGGGCGAACCCCTCCTCCTCCCTCTAGCAAACCCTTATTTCTTACTCCGTTAGGGACAACACAAGAGTGGAGCGGGCTACGATGCTATCAAGACCTACCAACAACGCCCCTTCAGCGAGTCCCCTTCCTCCTCCCTTCGGCCAGGTTAGCTCTTTCTTCAGTCTCCACCACCCTACCCCACTGTCCCGCTGCCCCCGGCCTCGCCGGCGCCAAAAGGAGTCAACAGACCAGGGCGACCGTACCTGGCCGGCCTCCTCCCCCTCCCCTTCACCTCGCTTTGCCTCCGCCACCATGATCAGCCCACTGCCCGCTACTGACCTTGCGGCTCCGTGGCGCCGCCGCCGCCTCATCGCCCACCCTTGTTCGCCACCCACCGCCGGTCCGCCGTCTCCCAAGCCATCCCTCTAGACCCGATCCCCCACTTCTCCCTCCCCAATACCACCCTCTCCTTTACCCCACCTCACCCTAACCCTAACCCCCCTCACGCATGGCTTGTTGTGACACGGTCGGAAAACGGGTGCCACTTCCTCGCTCGCCCGTGTGTGCGAATTAGGATTCTTGCCTATGCTGTCAGCCTCTTTTAGCTAGCTCACGCGCCATCTAACCTTCTCGAGCAACAAAGACCAATATGTGGGCCCTACCCTTGCATGGGACTCGCATGTCATGATCAAATCAAATGGGGATCCACCATGACACGCCGCAGATCAGGGTTAAAATTTAGATATCCGTAGACGAAAAATAATCGTCCCATTCTTTTCATGGGACTTGTATGTCAGGACCAAGTCTGATGGGGATCCACCATATATAGCATGCCAGGTTGATGCAGGGGGCGGATCAGGGTCGGTTTGAATCAGCGATGGCATCCAAGATAAGTTTAGCCGTTTAGGGACGCTAAAGATATACTACTATTTCGTGAGTTGGGAGACATGGATAACACAGACTGCCCACGTACTTTATTAAAAAAAACATTCCAACCTCAAAATCGAGTCTGTTTATTTCGATCGGTACATATACTCACTCATCTATCCCCACACATGGGGTCATGGCGTATATGCGTGACACGGGTGCATATGATTTTTACCCTAAAACCAACTGAATTTCCCATGGCAATTAGATGCAGATCATCGATCGATCGATCGGTGCAATGTCAACCCGGCCCCGTTCTAGCTAGGTCGATCCAGTCCAACCAGCTAGCCATTGCGTGCCACACGTACTCCTCTTAATTAATTTGTTCTATGCATGGCGCCATGGATGATGTTGTCGTCGGAGATGAAGTAGTATATAGCTAGGGTGGGTGGCTATGATGATCGGACGACGAGGGTGTGGTGGTGATGTGAATGTTGGGATTCCACCTCCTCATCCTGCGATGCACATGCGCGCTGTGCTGCTGAAGCACCAGCACGGAGCCGCAGGCCGTGAAGTCGTCGGAGGCCAGCACCTCCCCGACGGGGCCCAGCTCCGGACACTCGTCCTCCAGTAGCCCTCCCATGCCGCTCGTCATGGCCGCCGCCGCCGAGCCGCCGCCGCCCTTCCCCACCACGAACAGCGAGTACGTCCCCACCATGGCGCTCAACGAATTCACCATCTCCGCGCCGTTGCTCACGTACCTCTCCGTGTACTCCACCTGTCCCGCCAACACCAGCCTCGCGTACACGTCCGCCATGAACTCCTCATCCGCCATCGCCTCCTCGTCCTCCACCGCCACCTCCATGGCGCCCTCACCGCCATGGCTCTTGGTGGTGGCTAATAATTGTTCATCAATGCCAATGGTAATATCATCCTGTCGCGCTGGAAGGAATCTCACCACCGTCACGCTCACCCACGGGTGCGCCGCCAGCCGCGTCGCGTACGCTACCGCCTCCCTGTCGTCCGGCCCGCCCAGGAACACCGCCACCACCTGGTTCTTCACCACGTCTTCCGCGCCCTTGTCGCCGCCCCCGCCGAGGCGCCGTTCCACCAGGACCCCGACAGTGCAGGGCAAGCGCTGCAGGATCCGCTGGTTCAGCTGCCGCCTCCCCTCTCGCCGGCACACCATGCGCCCGTCGTACCGCTGCTCCTTGTGGAAGGGCACGATCACCAGCGACGCGCGCGAGTCCTCCACGCCGTTGCGCACGTCTGCGTCCATGGACCCCAGGCTGGAGATGGCGGTCATCTGCCGCACCGGCACGCCGGCGTCGTAGGTGAAGGTGTTCACCGCCGCGGCCACCTGCTCGATCTCGCGGGCATAACCCCACTCGTCGTCGTCGGCGTCGGCGTCATGGTACAGATGGGTGATGGCGTACTTGCGCGCGGCCATAAGCTCCACCAGGTGGAGGAGGTAGACGGCCAGCGGCGCGGTGCCCTTGGAAAGCTCCGCGAGCGTCAGCATGGTGTGGACGCCCCCGGCGCCGTGGACGCAGACCAGCACGCGGAGCTCGTGGTCGACCTTGAGGTCCTGAAGGCAGCGCGACCGGTATCGGGAGGCGGCGCGCTGCTGTCGGACGATGGCCGCGGCAGCCGGGCCTGCCATGAAGGTGTTGAGGATGGAGGAGAGGAGCAGCACCACCTGCGCCGTCTGGCCCCAGATGCCGGCCTGGTTGCCGAAGTTGATGGCGAGGATGTCACAGTAGCCCTTGACGTTGAGCAGGAAGCCCAGCACCAGCGACTCCCTCGCCGAGATGCCCAGCATGCGGCCCGCGAGCACCGTGCCGCCCACCTTCCCGACTGCGCCGAGCAGCGTCGTGAAGGCGACGGCGACGGCGAACTGCATGGCTGTGAAGCTGCCGACGGCGGCGAAGTCGAGCCTTGCGCCGATGGCCCCGAAGCAGAGCGGCATGACGAGCTGGTGCACGGGATAGGTGAGGCGGTCGACGAGCGTGCGCGCCGTGGGCCCGTCGCGCGGCATGGCGAGGCCGATGAGGAAGGCGGTCATGGAGGCGCTGTAGCCGAACACCTGCTCGAGCAGCGAGAGGGCGATGATGAGCAGGAGCATGGCGCAGAGCTCGTACTTGCTGACGTAGCGGCGGCCGCGCTTGAGCCTGTTGAGCAGCCTGGCGGCCCTGGCGGCCGCGAGCACCGCCAGGCACGCCGTGAAGGCCATGGACATGACGATGGACATGTCCGGGAAGGATGGGGTGGGCTGGCCGTCGGGGCCGTAGGCGGTGGTGCCGACGACCATGATGCTGAAGACGGAGAGGCTAGCCATGTCGTTGGCGAAGGCGGCGCCGATGGCGAGCTGGCCGGCCTCGGAGCCGGTGAGCTTGAGCTCGGTGACGATGCGGATGAGGACCGGGGAGGCGGTGGTGGTGAGGACGAGCATGAAGAGCGCGGTGGAGGCGTAGAGCTTCTCGGGCTTGAAGGGGCCCTGGCCGGGGTGGAGGAGGCCGTAGAAGAAGGGCCCCGCGAGGGCGGCGAGCAGGAGGCAGAGCCCCGAGCCGCCGCAGGCGATGGCGAGGGAGCGGCGCAGGTGGTGGCGGAGGTACCGGAGGTCCATCTCCAGGCCGATGAAGAACATGAAGATGATGCGGACGAAGTAGATGGTGTCGCTGAGCGCGCTGCCGGCGTCCTGCATGCCCAGAGGACGCAGGTCCACGGCGCGGCCGAGCACCGTCGGCCCGACCACCACGCCGGCCTGCACTGCCATGCTCGCAATCTCATATATATATATATATATATATATATATAGCTTCCATCTCGATCTCTCTCTCTCTCTCTGCTGGAAATTTAATTATCAATCCAATCCAATCCGCATGCATATATATATATATATACCAGGATGTGCGAGATTATGCTTGGCTGCCCAACGCGTCGAAGCGCGCAATGGAAGATGCCGGAGAGCGCCAGGACGGTCGCCATGAGGCCGGTCACGGCCATCACGCCGGCCATGAAGTAGGTGCCGTCGTTCACCTCGTCGGAGCACTTGGCACCGTCACCTGCCATGCTCGTCGCCGGCCCGCCGGACCGATCGATCAGCACGCTACCTACCTACCTACCTATAGCGGGCTATCCTATATATAGCCTGCCTTATATTTATCAGTTAAAATTTGAATTATCAACTTTAAATTTGAAGCTAAATTTGAGGGGGTTTTTTTGAATTTTATTTTTCAGTCTTTACTTTTAGAACGCTAATAACACGTATCTAAAAGTTTTATTGATAAATTACTTTTTATTTGTAAATATACCGTTTTGCTTAATCCCCTTAAATTGCATTCCTAGCTTCCATCCCTTTCGTCAACCCAATCTAGGATTCACTATAGCCAACATAATTGTGTACGTGACTGTAGGTTTACTGGTGCTCAAGTTAAGATACACAGTTGTAATCGACTATGCAGAAATAAGATATCAAGGGTCCTAATGAATTTTACCTATGAAACCCTCTAACTCATGGGAAGGATAGGAAATTTTTTTTCATTGAAAACTTTCGTTACCTTTACGTTGTTCGTTTCATGAAATGTTATTAAAGGGATTCCTTCAACTTTTTCATTAAAATAGGATTAGAGAAACATAATACTTAATTTCCCTGTCGTCTTTAATTGTTGCAATCACGGGTACTTTTCTAAGTCTACTATCTACTATATATTATATATACTTATATATACTTAAAAAGTAAAACCTGTTTTCGTCGTCCGTGAAAACAAAAAGAAACGATGAGAAAAAAACCAAAAAAAGAAGTCCGACTCCCATTAAAAAAAACTTCCGACTCCCTTGGAAATTCCGTAAAAAAAAGAAAAGAGATTTCTTTATGGAAAAAAATCAAGCGCGAAAAAAGTGCGAAAATTTTGTTATGTCCGATAAAAAAAAGTGCTATAAAAGGGTTTCCGTCTACCGTAAAAAAAGAAAAATAATAGTGCAAAAAAAGATTTATGTCCGATTAAAAAAAATCCCGTCGTCCATCCCCCCAAAAAAAACAAGCGTGACCATTTTTTCTGTCCGATTCAAAAAAAGAAAGTTGGGAAAAAAGGTTTTCCGTTTCTCTATCTCTGACTCTATCTCTTCTCTGCTTCTTAAAAAACTAAATGTGTTTCCGTCGTCCGTCCGTGAAAAAAAGCGTGAAAAAGAAATTGAGCGAAAAAAAATCGAATCCGATTATACGTGACGCGGTAAAAAAAACAAAAAAAGGGAGAAAAAAATGAAAAAAAAAGAGAAGTCCAATTCAATCTATCTATATATACCTAACTAAAAAATTTGTATGGCTTCCGGGTTATAGTTTTCGTTCGTCGAAAAAAATATTTCCATCGCACGTGCGATCGATCCCATTTCAACCCCTCTCCGGTGGCAAAAAAAAGAAAAGAAAGAAAAAAATAATGAGAGACCGCATCAAATTTGGACATAAATCATAGAGAAAACACTGCTACAAGAATACAAGAATACAAGATCAGATTCAAGAACACTAAGAAAACGCCGATGCCGGAAGGGGAGGGTTTCGTTGTCGTTGCCGAACCGCCACCGCCGTCGCAGGGATGTCGGTATGCCAGGGCGCAGCCACGTTGTTTTGAGAGATAGAGAGCGGGGGGAGGGGAAATGATTTTAGGGTTAGGGTTTGGGCTGTTGAACTTTTATATAGGTCGAGGTCAATCAGGACCGTCTATCAGATCAGACGGTTCCGGCTTCTCCCGCGTCACACCGAACGCCAATCCCAGGCCGCCCACACGGAATAAGTTCACTTTAGGTAGCTTAAGTTTTTCTTCCCGATTCTATTCCTAGGCCGCCCACACTATTGGGCCATCTCATGGACCACGTGTACGCTTTGTATGGAATAAGGTCACTTTAAGTCCCTTCAGCTGGACTTTTTTTATTTTATTATGAATATATTTTCTTAAAGAGCTCATATCATGTAAAACTAAATCTTAATCATGTAATATTTTTATATTTGTTATAATTTTAATTTACACGTTGCAACGCACGGATATTTTTTTCTATGTAAAAAAAAGGGACCATGACATACGAGTACGAGTGAGAGATATATGCCGCACGCACCCGCAGGCTCATGTTTAAACGAGCTGGCAACATATTGTCAATTACAGGTCTAATTGTTTTATTTGGGTGATTAAATTTGTTTTTATTTACATAATTAGTTTGCTCTATTTAAGCTTTTTGAAAATTGCTAAAATTTGAGAATAACTTTTCCTACTTCATATTATATTATTTTTAGCTAATGGAATTAACAGAAAATTAATTATATATTTTTATCTTTTTAACAAAGGTCACTGCAATTTTATATTTTATTATGATTATGATTATGATTCCTTTATATTTTTTCTCACCAATATACATGATTAAAATTATCTTCACCCGTTGCAACGCACGGGCATCATTGCTAGTTAAAAAAAAAGTTGAAATAGGAGATAATGTGAGGCCTTGAGATTAAAAGGACCCCGAAAACGAGACAGATCGTGGCCGTTGAAGAGGGACACAGACACCGTGGATCTGAACGCTGCCGGTGTTTGTTATCCACATTTGCGGGGCGCAGCAGCAAAAGCACAAGGGCAAAGCCTCGCCGCCGTCGCCGCCGCCGCCGCCGCCGCCGCCGCGGCGATCGCCACGCCATGTCTCCCTCCCTCTTGCTTACCTCTAGGGGTACCCACTCGCCGGCGCCACGGCCGCAAACCCGTCGAGCATCACAACTGCTCGTCTCTTTCCCCTCGCGCTGCAGCCGCTTCGTCGGCCTCCGCCTCGCGCGCGCAGCCGCCGATTCGCAGGGGCCCAACGGCGCTGCCCCTGGATCTGGATCTGGTGGGGACGGAGAGGGCAAGGCAGCCAATGGTGCCGACACCAAATTGGTACGGTAAACAACCAACCCTTCCCTCTCTCTTAAATCTTAATCCCCTTGACTTACTACTACTGTTCCCTAATCCCTCTCCTGTTCTCCCCAATTACTGTTCCTTCTCTGTCTTAATGGATAGATAGATGGATTGGTTACTCCTTTTCTTTCGCCTGCCTGCTACCGTCTGCATTCTCACAGGCTGGTTGGATGCATGCCATGATAGAACAGGAGAGATAATTTCAATTTACTAACAAATAACATGCACCGCATAATTTGGAGAAGTTTCTTGTGTTAATTTTGCATCAATCACATGGTATGCGTTCTCCACATAAACTTGTAATGGTTTGCACAAAAATAATTCGCACTAGCCCTCAACTCCAAGTCGACTACCTGAGAATATGTCGGAGAAGCAGAGATAGTTATGATGTCCTGAGCATTTTATACATTATGAGATCCAGAATAAGACACAAGTAGTCAAGCACTGCATAGGTCACATGATGAGGCAATTTAATTTAATTACCCTGAGATCTGAACTATAGGCAGATGAACTAAACAAATCAGGCTTACAAAACATTGAGATTATCTTGCAGAACATTTGGGAATGGTAACAGGACATGGAGGTTGATCCTATACCAAGACACCATGTATATATACATATATAAATGATACACCACCAACTGCAATTCTATCAGTCGGTTTCATCTGAATTACACTGTGCAATGAATAGATATATCATATGTATGACTCATCATGCTCACATTTTTTCTCCATTAGTGGGCCGCTTGTTAATAATATATAAGTTGATGAAATATTGTTAACTCTCACTGATCCATGGCATCAATGATCTGTCTAATACTGCACGAGCGACTGTTGTCTGTTGCTAGGGCAGCTGGTAGTCAATGGATTGTTCACTCTCCACAAAACATGTTGAGTTGAGGGCTTTTATGATATCTTGCCTTTGTTGATCTGTTCCTACACAAAACAACTTGAAGGTCCTATATGTAAGAAAATTAGCAAGGATTGCTTGACAATTGTTGATAGCCTTATAGCTCAGGGCAGAAAGTTCTGGCAGAACCTTATATTCAAGAAAATTAGCAAGGATCTCTTGACAATCTTTGATAGACTTATCGCTCAGAGCAGAAAGTTCTAGCACCTCTACTTCTACATCCATTGCTGTAGAGTAGTTTCCTTTTCATCCCTGCAGAGTGTGCACAGAGATTCTCAAAAGTCAAAATACTGTTCTGTACTTCTGTGACCTGTTTTTTTGAGTGTCAAGCTGCCATGCAGGAGTTCATTAGAAGCAGAACCATCATGCTAGTTGGACTAGACTCTGTTTGTAGTTGTATCGATGGAAATATATGCATGAACACCCTTTCGTCCACATGTCTTTGGTTCTCAATTAATCCATTGTCTATTATCATGTTTGGCACCAACGAAAATAAGCTATACTAATATCTTCTTGCTAATTTAGCTATAATATTATTCTGACAACAATCCATATTTTAAAGCTATGGCTATAATATTCTGACAACAATCCATATTTTAAAGCTATGGCTATGTGTTTTTTTCATTCTTACAGCCAAAGAACCGGAGGGACATACTCCTGGAATACGTTAAAAATGTCCAGCCAGAGTTTATGGAGCTCTTCATAAAAAGAGCTCCGCCACAGGTTTTTATCATCTTACTTCCCTCCTAAGTTTCCACAAACTGTGTTTTGGATAATTCATAAGGATGGGACTGGGTCAATCCATGGGTACCAATTGACCCACTATAGTTCAACCAGATGAACTAAAACACAACATCAAAGTTCATTTTTAGATGATTTGGTTGAACTAGAGGCAATGGGTACTTATGTATTGACCCACTTCCAACCCTAGATATATAGGGTGGTATGCTGATGATTTCTTGAAATACTTTGATATGATGACATTTCCCTCTGTCCATTTTTTTTTCTGAAAAGGTTGTTGATGCCATGCGCCAAACGGTGACTAATATGATTGGGACTCTGCCACCTCAATTTTTCGCTGTAACTGTGACAACGGTAATGGGATATCATATGTTCAGGTCTTGACGCCGGTTTTTCTTGTATGGCATTATGTCATACTACTAATTATTAGCACAATTCATTTGTACACTTGAGCCATGAAATTGTGACATGTTTATTTACCTTTTTCATCGACACAGGTTGCTGAAAATCTAGCTCAGCTTATGTACAGTGTTCTGATGACCGGATACATGTTCAGGAATGCGCAGTATCGTCTGGAATTGCAACAGAGTTTGGAGCAGATTGCCCTTCCAGAACCAAAAGAAGAAAATGTACTTTTCCACCAATGCTGAGTTGTGGACATATATTCCTTACAGGGACATATGATTAAATTGTTGCCATGTTGACATGTATATATCTGCTTAGTAATCTAGAGTTGATTATGAAAACTCATTTTTTGATCATTTGTTTGTCTTTTGAAAGGTTAACACTATGTGCAACTTACATTAATTCACACAACCAAATCTATGAGTGGATAAAGTCAAGTTTTTGCTGGTAGTAACTTTACATTATTAAAACTGCAAATATTTTATTTTGTCTTATTTTGCATGGCAGCATTTACTCGCTGTTGCTGTGCATGGTTTAAACCTCCATAAAGAGAGGTCCAAGTAGTGTATCCCTAGAAAGTAAGGTTAGGAAGCATCAATCAATGATAACTTGATAAGTATGTAGCAATGATGCTTCCCGGATTCAAAGTAAAGAGGACTGAAATTAATCTGATCTTTAGAGTGTTTCTATTGGTTGAAGAGTTATTTTTTTCATAGGAAAGCTTGTTGATGAGTGATCATTACCTCAGGAGTTCACAGCGTTATCTAACATGGAAAACTAAAATTTGTCTTTCTATAAGAAAACCAACTCAGCTATTGTAACTATTGGTGGTTTCCAGCTACTGTTTTGGCATCCTAGTGTTTAATTAGGCTTTGAGTAGGAGCGATGAAAGATGCAATATTCATTTTGGATGTTAGATTGATTGAGGAGCACACATCCATGCATAACATAAATGTTGTCACTAACACTAATTGTAAAATGTCTCACGTCTCTCTCCTGCCAGGGCACCTCAGTGTGCCATATAATTCACTGGCTTGTGTCACTGGTCAGCCACATTTGGTATTGTTTTCTAACCAGTACTTTGCATTGTCATATTTGCTCATTGCTGTTTGACATTGTAAAGAGATTAGTGCTAGAGGTTATTGACTTGTGTATTTAGATTTGTTTACTTTAATGTCATAGCTTTCAGAATGAAGTCGGTCAACATTTTGTGCTCCTGGTGTTTTGATCATTTTTCTGCAAGTGTTCTTAACAGTACATTACAATGTGGTGTAGCTTCCCTACTTCGCACAAATAGTAAATACTATAAAAAAAGCAAAGATGAGGTTGTTTAATATGCATGCTGGCATTTGTAGGATTCTGCAGATTATGCTCCTGGAACCCAGAAAAAGGTTACTGGAGAAGTTATCCGATGGAACAAGACTACTGGTCCTGAGAAAATTGATGCAGTAAAATATATAGAATTGCTTGAAGCAGAAATTGATGAACTCAGCCATCAAGTTGCTAGAAAATCATCTCAAGGAAGTAATGAACTCTTGGAATATCTAAAAACTCTAGAACCTCAAAATCTGAAGGTATATCTTGATCCCATTACCCTCTGCTGCATCCATCCTAAGAATCAGAATATATATAGTTAATACTGACTTTATGTTAGGATGATCAATCTTTTTGGTTGGTTTACATGCGTGATAATTCATCTACTATTCTGAAACATTGTAGGAGCTGGCAAGTAGTGCCGGCGAGGATGTCGTTTTTGCTATGAATGCATTCATAAAGCGCCTTTTGGCTGTCTCAGATCCTGCACAGATGAAGGTGAGTGTTTATTTACTTCTTTCTGTGTTCATGTTAATTGATTTTGTTCAGAACCATGCATACCTCCATTTTGTTGAATTGTGCCACTCATTCAGGTTTGCTTCCATTCCATTTAGTATTTTCTGATAGGAAATCGCAGCATTTTATAAATTGTTCCCCAAGTTTGGAATGTTACTGCACCTTAAAGTTAGTCACTTTGTTTTGTTTTGTTTTGAGTGCAGACAACAGTTTCAGAAACAAGTGCTAATCAGCTAGCCAACTTGATGTTTTGGTTGATGATTGTTGGCTACAGCATGCGCAATATTGAAGTGCGGTTTGACATGGAAAGAGTATTGGGTGCTGCCCCAAAGATAGGGGAATTACCACCTGGAGAAAACATATAGCAGGGAGGAAAGGGGCGTAAGAGTGGGGAAGTGATGATTAGTTAAAATCTAGGGTTACTGGCCGGCCAAGATAACTGTATTTGCGTGGTCATATTATTTTGAGTGGAATGGATTACAGCATTTGTGCAAAGACACCAATCCACATTTTGGGAACTAAGATGAGATGCTAGGCATAGCCATTTCTGATATATTTCTCGGGGAGGTATAGACGACGAGATACATAGAAACAATAGAACGGGACCTGATGCTGTAGTTTTGCAACCTGACTATTGTTGGTAAAATACAATCAAGGCAACTCATATTACCATATTGTACTCCCATGTTGTATGTCTAGTTCACCAATCAAGTTGAGTCTGATGTGAGTTTGTTTAGAATCTTGACTAATTTTGCTACATGACACATAAGTTTGTGTAATTTGATAGCGTACATCGTAAAAACGTGTTATGGCTGTTGGACACCTTAAAAAATGTGTTCCTTGCACAGGAAAAAAAATTCTTTTGAATAGATATTGATACAAATACCTCGAAACGGGTTGGGATACATATTCGTTATTACTATAGATAAGATCTTTTGAATAGGTATTGATACAAATATCTCGAGATAGGTTGGGATACATATTTGTTAATACTATAGATAGAGTATGATTTTTTTTCATCCAAATAGATAAATCTCTAAATATAGGCACTTCTTTTTTCTTCACTTTTGCATTTCTTAATTTTGTATTCTGCTATTCTGACAAATATTTTTTCATTCTTGCTTATCTTATCTTACTTTCCTAGTTGTTCTAAGTAATACACGCGGTACAAAGTTCGTGCTAGGGAATTTCTTTGAGTCATCATGTTTTTCTTCATACAAAAAATGAATATGTGATTTTTCAACGAAATGAAGCTTTTTTTTTGCTTAGCCTATCTGAACCTTTTGTATAATTGGAATTAATTAAAATATAATAGGTATTTTGTTTCGTCTAGAAACATAGCGTAAAAATATTCCTCGACTTGCATAAAATCTGGAGTACTATGCTAGATGCCATTTTCAGCTCAATTGGAGAGAGAATTTTTCTTAGAAAGACAAGTGTTCATAGAATCATAGTGCCAAAAGCTTCTAATTTAGTGCAAGAGCAAAGATTTAATATGCCAATATGACGCACTCAAGGAATGTACTTGGGGTGACGACACATTTAGAGATGCATAATTTTTAAATTTTCACTTCAAAGCCTAAGGGGTGAAAATGGAGCGGATTTGAACGGATAGTAGGTATACCATATCTTAAACCATATTTCTTGAGTGGATTCGAAGCGGATTGTTTCGGATGTTGGAAATGGTGCATATTCGATTTAAAAACGGATTGAATTTATCAGATATTACGTGTATAAGCAATCAATATAACATCGAGTTAGCAATGCAAGGAACAAACAACACAATAATCGATGAACAACCCTCGTAATAATTATATTTTTTTTGAGAACGTCGTAATAATTATATGCATAAGTGTTAAACAATATGAATACTTCATAGTATAAAACACACAACTATGCAAGTGTGAGATGAGATTATGAAAGCCTCGAATTAAGGAGTCTTGGTAAATTGATGACTAGCAAAATTTACATAGAATCTTTTAGAACATTTAGGCCGGATAAAAATCAATTTCATTGTCTGTCTTCTCTGCACACGGCACGACCTTATATGACCCTGTACCATAACGTTTAGCGGAAAAAGCTTTCAACTAATACAACTTATTATAATATATTTCTCCAAATTTTAGTGCCCACATATTTTAAAAAATACGATAAATTGTTATTACTACTTAAGATGAGAGGGGTGATGTTTTTTTAAGCCTTTTTAATATTTAATTAAAAAAAATAAATAATCCAACAATTTATTTTCAAATATAAACTTTTGGTCAGTGGCAAGAAAACACTAGCAAGCCTGTTGCTATGGCGTGATTAAAAGATTTAAATTTGTAAATAAGTTTTGGAGAGGATTTATTTTAAAAATAAATAATATTAATAAAAGGTTAAAAAATAATAAAAATTCGAGAGCGGTCGGTTCCTTGGAAACGAAGGGAACAGGGAAAGTATGCAGAAGCAAGTCACCGCCCAAGCGAAGAAGCCAACGCGGTGGAAAGTGGAAAGAAAAGCGGACAAACCAACCCGAGGCGACCGGCGACTCGGCGAGGCAAGGAAAAGAAAAAAAAAGGAAAAGAAAAGAAAAGAAAAGAGAGAGAAGGTGTGGTGGTGGAAGGAACCCTAGCGGCGGCGACCGGCTCCGATGGCCCCTCCACCGCCGTCTCCGTCCCCATCTCCGGCGAGCGGCGCGCAGTACGCGCACCAGTTCCTGAACACGGCGCTCTCCCAGCGCGGGCCCTCCGCCCTGCCCTACGCGGAGGACGTGAAGTGGCTGATCCGCAACCACCTCGTCGCCCTCGCCGACGCTTTCCCCTCGCTCCACCCCAAGGCCGCCCTCTTCACCCACAACGACGGCCGCGCCGCCCACCTCCTCCAGGCCGACGGCACCATCCCCATCCACCACGCCGGCGCCTCCTACAACCTCCCCGCTGTCCTCTGGCTCCCGGAGCCCTACCCGCGGTCGCCGCCCCTCGTCTTCCTCTCCCCAACACGCGACATGGTCATCAAGCCCCACCACCCCCTCGTCGACCGCTCCGGCCTCGTCGCCAACGCCCCTTACCTCCGCTCTTGGGTTTTCCCCTCCTCCAACCTCGTCGATCTCGTCCGATCCCTCTCTCACCTGTTCGGCCTCGACCCGCCCCTCTTCACCAGGAGCCCCAATCCCCCACCCCCTTCCCCTTCCCCGCCGATCCCTGCCACCCCGCTCCCTCGCGTCCACCCCTCCTCCTCCTCCTCCCCCTCCCCATCCCCCTACAGATTCCCTGCCTCGCCCCAGCTTGCCGCGCGCCCCCCACCCACCGAAGACCCCGCTGAGGTCTACAAGCGCAATGCCATCGCTAAGCTCGTTGACATGGCCTATGCCGATGCCGCCACGCTGCGCCCAGTCCGCGAGGCTGAGGTCGACACTCTCTTCGCCATGCAGGCTACGCTGCGCAGCCGGGGGGAGGTGGTCTCTGATGGGGTGCGCAAGATGGGGGAGGAGAAGGAGGCACTTGAGCGCCGCCTGCAGGATGTAATGATGGCCACGGACCTCATGGAGGCGTGGGTCATGGAGAACACCAAGGGTGCTGCCGGCGACACTGAAGCGGACGAGGCAATTGAGACCGCAGATGTACTGTCTAAGCAGATGCTTGAGTGCACTGCTGCGGATTTGGCACTCGAGGACACCATTTATGCGCTTGACAAGGCCATTCAGGAGGGTTCTGTGCCATTTGATGGCTACCTCAGGAGCGTGCGAGCGCTTGCACGGGAGCAGTTTTTCCAACGCGTCCTGTCAACCAAGGTGAACAAGGCACAACAACAGGCTCAGGTTGCTAGAATGGCTGCTCGGGCACCACAGTATGCATCATAGGACCGGTGAGGGGTAACTTGAGTATACTTACTTTGATATTGCCTTTGTCTACCAACTCTACTATAGCTGTCACAGTGTAAAGTTCGTTTGCTCTTTGCACATCTTTTTTGGGGTGGATGGGGGTTACTTACTAGATATTGGATGGATGATCCCATGTCAAATAAGAACCTTAGTTGGGAGTGCTGCACTGGATCTTGTGTACGATTTCTGTACTTCAATACATATCTTCAGTTTTGTTCTTTGTGATAACTCCATGTCTCAATCTTCATCGCAAAACTTTTATCAAAGATTACAAATCTTGACCTTGGTAGAAAATTTCAGATGCCTGGGTGTTCCCCATCTTACTAATTGTAGTCATTGCCATTGGTGCCGACTAATTGGTGCCAGCGCCGGAACAGGCAATAATAGGCCCTTCTGAACTGGCACCTATGGGCTTTCCTGCACTAGTGAATTGTGGTAATTCAGATATTGGAGGCTGATATACCTGAAGTTACTGATACTTTCAGAATGTTCAGTTATATTTCTTTTGTATGACTGCATTGCCAGCTGTGGAAACCTAGCCTATTTGTTAGAACTCAAAGTTGGGAAGCACTAAGTAATCTAATTAAAAATTAGTAATTTCTGGCTTGCTTAAATGTTATGACAATGGAAGAGGCAATCTAACTACCTCTGTTGTAAATGTTGGACGCTCTAATGTGATATAGGTATCTCAAGTTTGCTTAGAGGTTTGTTTGTGGTCATTGTGTTTGTAGGTGTCAGGCGCGAATGTAATCAACAATTTTTTTGGTGTGTGGGTGTGGGTGTGGGTGTACTTGGGGTTTCTTCCCTATACGCAGCTCTCCTACGTGTTCAAGAGAAAAACGTTTGCATATAGGCTTTCTGGCCACTCTTATCAATATTAATATATTTATAAATTGGCTTAGTAGTTGGTTCTAGTTTGGAAATATGGTTCCCCTGAGCACAGGGCACTGCACACTTTGGACCGAATGTGACATATTCTAGTACTATGAATCTGGGCTGTATGTCTAGATTCATAGTACTAGGATGTGTCACATCTGGTACTAGGTTGGTTTTTTATGGGACGGAGGGAGTAGGTTATTTATTACTAGATGATCTGCACGATGCAATGCTTACATCATGGAGTAATGTTCTGTAATTTCTGGACAACCTGAACATGCCCATCCTTAGTCGGTGGTGTTGGTTTTTATGGTTCAAATCGCAGCCCAGATTTTGAGCTAACTCTGGTTCTGTTTGATCTCAACACATTTGTAGAGCCAAACAGAATGGGTTTCTTGCAGATTTAGAGTGTGAGTTTACATATGCTGCTTGTCCTTGAGGTAAAAAACATTTTTAAAATGTATTGCAGAAAATTACATTGAACCATTGCAGGACAAAAAGTTACTGATGTTGCCCTGTTGCTCCGATGAGATTCGAGTGAGCATGCCTTTTGCTCCAGTATAGATAGTCTGAGTAAAACCTAGAGTTATTTAGTGTGGTATTAAAAAAAAGTTGAACTCGAGGAGGCGGCAGTGGTGATGTTGAGCCCCCGAGTGAGGCCGTGGACGGTGCCATAGCCGCGGGACCCGAGGCCGATGCAGCCGTAGAGCAGCAGCCCCTGCCGGTATGGCAGGTACGGCCGCCCCTACATCTCCTCCGCCTGCGTCCTCCTCACCTCGTACATCCTCTCGTGCGCCGATCTCCTCCTGCTCCTTCCCGTTGTTCCTCTCCCTCTTCTCGGCGGCCCTCTGCCATGGACACAACAGCGCTCACACACAGCCCAGGTGGAGGAACAGCAGGCCAACGTCGCTGCCGTAGCGGTGGTGCAGGGTGTCCAATGAGCGGTGTGGGAGCTGGTCGACGAGGTGGAGGTGGCTGACGAAAGGAAGCAACGGCGGTGATGGCAGAAGCTTCCCTTTTCCAAGACTCTTGATTGTGAAGACGACTAGGAGCAACGCTATGGCGAGGATGACATATGATCATTACATCTTGGTGGATTTTTATCCCAAAGGTTGGATTTTTACTCCGAATGTCTTGGTGCTTATAAATCAATTAGAGCACATTCCATGTCCTTGTTCCATTATCTCTACAAAAATGTTCTTGTAGCCAATCACCACGGGGCGGTGACTTTCACAGATCTATTGTGTGTCTAGAATATTCTATGGTAGAGTTTTTTTTCTCCAAATTGGATTTTCACATGCATGTTTGATGAACTCTTATGCCATGTAGTTGGGGTTATTTATGAAGATCACCATCAATCATCTTCAGTTGGATTGCTGTTTTCAGGCTATTGTGCTGGTGCAGTTGTGCAGCAGTGCAGGTATGCTTGTGAGTTGTGTCAGGTTGATCTGGGATTACATTCAGCAATACTTCTCTCTCATTTCCTGGTGAATTGGCAATCTATCCTAACTGTTGCTGGTTTTCCTTCTCAGGTAAGATGGCATACAGCTCACTATGCCGGGTATTTGCAATATCGAGCACCAGCATTATGTGTTGTGAAATTCCAAAATACTATTACAGTTAATCACCCTTCATATATTTTTTCAGGTAAGAGCACCTTTCATACAAAAACACAATGTGCCCGGTGAAAGATAAAACACAACTACAGGCTTTTTTTTAAAAAAAAAAAACTATCACCTGTACTAGTGCAGTAAAATTGCACTTTGATGCACCCACACAAGATTCAGTGCAAACCCAAAAAACAGAAGAGAAAAAAAAATTCCTCTAATCCCATTTTATTTGTAAGGAGGTTGAAATGGCCTGGATTAGTCCAGGCTAGCTTTTGCAGGGAAACAAAATAGAGAGTACTTGAGAGGCTAGGCCCTGTAGCCCCATCTTTTGAATACGTGTTAGTGATGCATATTTTCTCTTGATTTACACTGCAGATCTGGCTTAGGATGATAAGTGTACCTTATTTTATCTACCTATCTGATGTCTTGCATCATAGTTAATTATATGAATGAATTGACAACTCGATATTTGTCTACACCCTGCATTTTTTCCCGTATTCATCCATTGCCTGACTGTTTACATGGATGCATGTAGAACCTTGTGCTGTTTTGGTTCATAAGTTTAGTAGATAGAATCTTATGATGCAGAATGAAATTTCCCTTTTCCTTGGATGATATAAAAGTAACATACTCTTTGGATGTGAGCAATTAGACATGTCACTAGCGCCCCAACAGATCAGCTCAAAGTATGTTCCCACCCATGTTTGTAAGTAAAAAGATTGTCCAGGTCCATTTTCTTTGTTTAGCATTCCTTGGTATTATTTCCCAAATTCATTTGTTCAGCATGGGAAGGCCTTTTTTGTCAAAATGCGTGATGGTCAGTAATGCAGAGCTTTTATTTTGTAACTTTATTGGCACAGATGGATTCTAACCAAGAATTTGAGAATATTAGTTAATCTCTTTCTGTGTAACATGTTTATTCAATAGTGTTTGTTTGCATGTTCGAGGTATGAATTTACAGTTGAGGTTATGCATGCCAAGAAGTATATATTTTTTGGGGGGTTTTTTTGCCTGGTGCATTCTAACCAGTGGCTTGGAGCATGCTTAAGCAGACTGTGCTTTAGCCCAGTCTGTACACCGGAAATCATTATCCCGACATACATGATTTTATTCAGACTTTATCATTACCTTTAGAGATGATTATTTCATACTTCCAAATATTCATTTCTGAATGTTATACCTGCTACATTTAGAGTTCGATATAAACGTTTGCAGTTCACATACTATCCAATGGGGCCTTGAAAAAAAAAAGAGCAAGAATCAATGACGAAGCAATGCTTCTTTTCCTCTTGTTTGTAGGTTGAAAGAATGACTTGATTTATGGAGCTATAATTATATTGAAAAGTTCGTTTTGTAATTCAATACAAAGAAGAGTGTGAGCATGACTAGAAGATCTCTGTGGATTTCTTACAAGGTATTTATTTTGCATCGGTCACTATGTTAGGAACCTTTAGTGGTTTATATAGTCATGAAAGTTTTTGAGCCAGTGCATCAAATATCTTGGTCCATTAAGTGCCTGCACTTCTCTAAGGAAATCTACAGGATTTATCTAAGCTGCAAATCAGAATATTCAGGATTAATAAAGTAAAAATTGCATTTCTGCAGCAACAAAGAAAAGACTTCGAGGTTGTGATTGAGGATGGCAGGTCCTAAGTCACAGGGAACGTGGAACGTGGGTGAGTTCCTCGTCCCGGAACAAGGAACGGGAACGAAGCGGAACTTTATTCTGAAAACGGAGGGGTCGTCGTTCCAATACGTGGCATGGCGATGAAGGAACGAGAAGGTGGTAGGATGGAGGAACCAAGTACGCTGAGCTAAAAATAAAAGGGGAACTCACCGGATCAACGCTTCAAGCGACGAGCAGCGTTGTTGCTCCTTCGTTGCTCACCGCCATCATGCCCCGAGGTGCCTCCGCCAGCGCACGCCGCCGCCGTCGAGCAGGGGAGAGGGCTGCACTGCTAGTCGCAGGTCCATATATAAGAACAGCCGGCAAAATCCTTGACACATCTAGAGGGAAGAAATGATAAATGGATCTTTGTTCCGAGCAGATCGAAGAATATGTATGTTGGGCAGGTAAATATTCAGATACCCTCCAACAAGCTACGGTAGACTTCTGTGAAATGGTTCATCATGTAACACTGTCCATGAAACACTACTGCAGGAGATAAGGGGGAAATTTCAGCAATCCAACTTATTTACTCACCGACGGAGCAACATTTGCTACTGGCCAACTATTAAGTAGAAAATGTTTTCAATGGAAGAAGAAACCTGCACACTTGTGACTCAAAAATCGTAGTCTGCGGGTCATGAAGTTTCACTACAAAATACAAACTAGCTATTTTGAACTGACTATTGATTCACATATTAGAAATGATCAATACAGAAATTTTACATGGCTGTAGTGCATTTAAATATCATTTTTAGGGGGTAAATATAGTGCTCAATTTTCTTTCCATATTTATGGCAACTTTTCAATTCCTAATGGAACTTGCATACTGATGTGGATGTCTTTGCAGAGAGAAATACGCTCGTTACATGAGATAGAGGATTTTGTTGGGAGGCAATTAGGTGCGTACGAGTATAACTCTAAGAAAGGTGTCACAAAGGTGTGGTTCATTGAATTCATACTTTTAAATTGGTGAATTGTGAAAGAGATCAATGTGTAAATGATGGGTTGTTGCCGTTTCACTTGAAACAAGCTGATGTTTTATTTCACTTAAGAATTATTAGGAAGGATGTGGCCTTGAGTTAACATTTAATTATGTTATGTAGGAAGAAATTGTTTTTTTTTTCATGCTACGCCTTCTAAAGCCCATGCGTGCGCAGCGTGACACCGCACATACCCTTATATTATGAATCAATCCAGTTTTCCGGAGTTAGGATGTGTTTAGTTCACGCCAAAATTGAAAGTTTGGTTGAAATTTGAACGATGTGACGGAAAAGTTAAAGTTTGTGTGTGTAGAAAAGTTTTGATGTGATGGAAAGTTGGAAGTTTAAAGAAAAGCTTTACAACTAAACACGGCCTCACTCGTTCACCGTCTTCGGTTTATAATCGGGCGTGGGTTTCATCACTTCTAATAGTAGCATGATGACTATCCATGATGACTATCCGCTACTGCCGGCCCGCCTATTAAAGTCCTCCGCTCACGCAGTTTGAATTCATCTAGCTAAAGTATGTATAAGTATTTCTCGGTTCATAGGACAATGCTACGTAGGGCCAATTTGAACTGAATAATACAGTATTAGTATACATTGCTCCAAAAATAATTCGAAGTGGTCTCAGGTTAAAGAAAGGCAAATTCTCTATCCTTCTAAACTTATCAAGCTGTTTACGCAGCAGCAAACTGGCTTACACAGTAAACGAAAACCACCACAAGAAACAAGGGAGCCTTTAGAATAAATAAAACGGCTACACATAGTAATAACACTAGCAATTGAACAATGTTGGTAGCAAGTAAAAATGGCATCTCCTAGCAGACCGACTTGAACATAAATACCTACAGAATCACCCGCTCGTTCATTTAATCCGTAGTATTGACTGCTTAGTTGCCGCTCCATCTTCAACCAGCTAGCTGCACAAGAGTTATGCAATGGCTGCACTTATCATGACATTCACAAACCGCTCCGACAGAATCATGCGGGGAAAAGAAAACCAGAAAAATATGGATACTGCCCTTCTCTATTACTCCTACCTTCACAAGCATGGCCATAAAAAATCAACAGTACAACATATTAGGTTGCATGCCTCAAATCATCAAATCAACAGGGATAGGCTATCTCATATTTTTCTCAATACGACCGGATCTTTCAAAAAAAATATTTTTCTCAATATGAATCCCCATGACTGTAGGCTAGTGAGCCTACTGAATGCCTTGCTCCTGCATTTCCCTAACAGATTCTTCTTTTAAGGTGAGCTGACTAGCGTGTGATACTCAACAAATGACGGCGGGCAAATTTAACAGGTTATCGTAATTTGCATTGATTTGACACTATACCTCTTAAGTTAAGAGCCTTACCCAAGAAAAAAAATTATAATGCAGAGGACAAGACAATTTATAAACTAATACCAGGGTGTAAAAGATAGGAACATCAAACCTCTGTTTTGGGTTCCTCATGCAAAAATGACCAAGGTCCTGATTTCCATAGAAGCCTGCGATTTCTCAAATTATTAAGATAAAAGCATAAAAGAGCATCCATTAGATCAATTACAGAACATGAAATACAAGGCTCCAAAAGGGAAACAGACATAATATTAAAAATTCTTTATCGCCAATTGTTATATTCATAAAAGTGATGAAAATTGGGAAGATACCCTTATACAATATACTGCCCAGTGCATGGATATACATCAAATAACAGAAATTTGTCCTATCCACATGAAACTATTAGTTATGTTCTCCTAAATAAACTGCAAAATATGCGTGGCAATTCACTGAACAGTCAATTAGTTTACATGCTCCCTGAAAGGTTACAACTTTCATATAGAAAATAAGTTGATCTTCAAGATAACATGCAAATATGTTACTTATTGTGGCAGTAACATATTTCGACCGCTATAGACGTCACATTGCTTACTTAACATAGTGCTTTTAGCAAATACAGTCACCCTAATCAATTGCCAAATAACCTAGAACATAGGGCATGTGTAGCAAGTTTATTCCCAAGTCTGCAAGAACTATAATTTGCATTTTCACAGTTGAACCACATCCACTTAGTTCAATAAAATAGCAGGGCACACACGCGCGCGCGCGCACACGGAGAGAGAGAGAGATCACTTACATGGCTATGGTTTACGGTTACAGAACAACACAAGATATTCATTCCCAAAAAGGCAAACATTTTTAACTGCAAGATCATGTATGCATGCTTGTCTTTTTACACCGGATTAGAACAACAAAACAAGAAATATAATCACCTGAGAATGCCCGAAGCCATGCGCAATCCCATAAGTGTTGTCAAACCAGCCCAAACTCCAGCAAGTCCAAAAACAGATGGAGCATATAACAAAACTAATGATGACATTATCCCAACAGCAATCTGTATAGCCAAAAGATGACAAAGAAATCAATATAAAGTAAAGAAAAAAGAGAGACAAGTGTTTCCATACCGTAGCTTGAGCGACATAATCAAAATCTGAGACACCATAATGCAGACCATCAAATATGAATGCCAGAGCATTAATTGGTTGACTGGCACATACAAACTGAAATGAAGAAAAAACATTAGAATAATAGATGTGATGTGATAACTAAATGATAAAGTAGGGAGATGTACCAATGAACAAGATTTGACAACCATTAGGACCACAGGGTCACTGGTAAATAATCTTGCTATATTACTGAATGAGGTATACAGGCCAGCGGATAAAGCTAATCCACTGACTACTCCTATCTGCAAGAAAATCTCCATTTTTCTATGTTAACAAGAAAGGGCGATTGCATCTATGAATACATGAAAAACAAAGCTTCACAATAGAAAACAGAGAAATGACACATGACCTGCAAAGCAAACATTGCTATCTTCTGGACCCTCTTGTAGTCCAATATTGCATAGGAGCTTGCTATCATTGCCTACAAATGCAAGTAAACTTAAGTCTGAACATTTTGATTGCACAAATCATGATATATCATTGAGCTAGAGGAACAATCTTTGTATTAGTAGTATTCGCTAGAAGTTTGAGGGCTCGATGTAAATTACAATTTATAAAGAAAGAAGTATGTGAAATGAAGCCGATTTAAAAGTGTGGATACCATGTACAATCAAAGATACACACCTGGGCAGAAACAGCTAAAGCATCTGCAAGCAAAGATACCGCAAGCCATACTTGTAAGCATATCTGATGAGCTGCCATAGCTGTTGGGCCTTGTCGAGCAGCCATTGATGTCCCTATGGTCATCGTTAATAAAATCGAGAGGGTTCTTCCTAACAGCATGCCACCTAAGCATTTCAAAAACAGATGATGGAATTATAGATGGTGGTAAGTGCAATAAAAGGAAAAACAAGATAAGAAGTATGAAATTATAACATGGAGGTTCTCAGGATGCATATCATAGACATGCATTATCTTTCCAATAATATGACAGCAAATATTTGCAAATCCTAGAATTGAGCACATTTTACTACATATAAATGGTACCACGAAACAATATGGAGAATAGAAGTTCCCTGAACAGCCCATTCATTAGTGGACAGAATGGGCATGGCCCATGAATGAAAGCTCTATCAATGACAAGCTGATCAACATATCTGTAAAATATACTAGCAGTAACCGTACCTACACCATCTACTCTACGATAGTCTTTCCTTTTTCTTGCATATAAAGTTATTTCAAAAACCAAACTTTACAATTAACTTGTTATCGATAAAGGTATCATTGTTAAATGCATAGTGGATCCAGAATTGGAAATTTTGACAAATTAACCCAAAGAACTCAAAGCCCCCTGGGAGAGAAAATCTGAACTTCAGTTAACCGCACATTGTAGAATGAACAAAATGAACAGACACTGAGATCAATGAAAGTGTAAGAACTCTGATTTAGCATGCACAACAATTGAATATAATGAGAGAGGGGGAGATAGAAGAACGAAAAAGACACCAGATTTTAGATATCCGCTAAACTCTAACTGGTCCAGCCTTGGAGGAAGTAGAACAGCTCTTTTACTTAGAGACTGGAGAAGCAAAATTGTAATAATGTACCTATGTCATGGACGGAATAAAGTTAGAACTCCACTTGTAAGTTGTAACTAGCAAAAATGCTTGATATGTAACATATGAATAAATAAACTGCATAAACATCAGATGATGTGCTAACAGCCACAAACTGTTATGGCAAGACCAGAATCACATATGGTAATTTAAATGTGTGTGCTGAATTGCTGATAAATGAAAAACAAAAGGAAAGCTAAAGTTTATTTTCTGCTGCATTTCATTATTTTAGAAACATGTCTATAAGTAAAAACAGTTGGTATTTGGAACCAAACTGAGTTATTTGCTGCTATATTCATATAAAATATTCCCTTTTTTTACCTTTGTTGTTTTACTTGGATTCCATGGGGCTAGGTATCAATATAGAACTTACTGTGATGCAACTGTAGAAATTGCAGCTCCAGTTATGCCAAGCCGAAAGACGTAAATAAGTAAAGGAAGAAGCACTACAGCTGAAAGATTTCCCAAACCTACATGTTTTAAAAGAACATGGTACAGACATCATATAGTGTAATATGAGAGATATTTGATATCAGAGAAGAGTCTGGAATCAAATGAAACTGGACGTAAAGTATGCCCTTTATTGTGGAAAATGGAAAAAAAAGATATTGGAAACATTATTGTGATTCCACAAAATATTTGCTAGGACTGCTAAAAGGAATATAACTAATGCAAACCAATGTAATCATGTGGTTGATGAAGAGTAGTTCTTGGAAGTTACCTATAAAAAATACAGGAGTCTTAGTATCCTTGAATCCACGAAATATTCCCTGAACTGCTAACATAATCACATTTGCAGGTGCTCCCAAAGCTCTCAATGAAAGGAAAAGTTTTGCAGGTTTATGCATTGGTGAGGCCTGCAAAAGCACTAAGTTGAGATATCCTGACAATTCCAACAATTGAAAACTAATTGTTGAATCAAATTAGTGACCCATTGTCCAAAAGTGCACATAAAAACGACAGTATTCCCTACAAAACAAAGATCGCAGACAAGAATAGGCATCGTAATCCAAAACATACAGGTGACACGCCCATTAGTTTAAGAAACAATCCTGATCCTAGGAACAATGCCAATGCTTCAATTGTACCGATTCCAGCAGCTAAGACCAATGCAGAAGATACAGATGACAGCTCCAATTTGCCTGCAACATAACCACAAGTCAGGTTTTATTGCTTGAATGTTGAAGCAAGTGCACAAAAAAAATTTATAAATATGTGAGAAATGGAATATTTATTTAATATATGCTGCTGCTACCTGAACTTGAATGCTTGCTAGCATTCTTGGAAATGTCTTCTGCCACAAATGAGGTTGCAATGCTCAACAGTGGAATGTTGAAAATCTTAGACACGATATTAAAAACCGACACACCAATACCAGCTGATGCTAGCTCCAGAGCCCCTTCAGAATATATGAAAAAGAAGGATGAATGGCAAAAGAAGGGACAGCTTGCTTTCATGCAGTAAGGATGGCTATAATTCAGCACTCCCAAGAGCTACTTTATGAAGGGCAAGCGCCATAATACCTAGAACATCATTTTTGGTGCTGTTTGAATTAGTTACATAATATAAAAGAAACAAACAGCATGAATTATAGAGTATTAGTGTAGACAATGATGGTGCAGGTATCTACCTATTTGCCGATTGATAAACCATTAAGAAAAGAACACTTAAAAATATAGGATATAGCAGGTCCAGTAGGTACCTACCTAATCTACCAATATATGCAGTCTCCATCAATTGCGCCAATGGATCAATAGCTTGGCCAAGAACTGCTGGTAGAGCTAGAAGAATTAGCTCATTTCTGACACCCCCGGGACGCAAGTCACTGGTTGTTTATTCGTTGGATGGTTATGAAAGGGTAAAATATGTCATGCACCTCCGAAATGTAAAGATTATAGTAAATGTAGACAGCAAATGCAAAGGGCGCAAGCATGTGGGTAGGCAAGTAAATAAAAGTAGGAAACTGGAAATTACATGGGAGGCTCCGTTGGCGTTGCATTAGCAAAAGAGATGGCGCCATCATCTTCAGCAACAGCATGGGGAGCATTGGTGGCAAGAGGGGTGATGTGTCGCCGGTTTATGAGCAACTTTGGCAGGTTTGATGGGGAGGAGACTCTGGTTGGTCTGCTACCCAACAGGGCTGAGGAGGAGGAGGAAGAGATAGGCCTTGGACAGCGCGCAGGGCGTGCCGCGTGATGGTGGTGCATCATCACTGCCTTCATCTCGATCTCGAAATCTGGATGGAGGAATCAATTAAATTGAAGGGGGAGGCAGAGCAAGAAGAGAGATGGAGCTGGACCAGCCGGCAGGAGAGGACAGCAAGTTGCGGTGCCGGTGGACGTTGGTAGTGGGAGGATCAGACTCGAGGGGAGAAAGGAGAAATCAGAAATGGATGAGGCAGCGCATAGAGCCGGGAGGGACCAACAAAAGGCAAGCCTTTTTTTTTAATTGGGTTAATTGTTGTCAACTTGGCATTGGCATATGTACTGTATGTCTGCATCTGTATGGTGGTGCTTCATGTGGCGGTGCAGGAGGTGCAGCATGGCGTACACCTCCGCTCGCCGTGGGTGCGCTCCGTCCCACCATACGAACCGCTCGCTTCCGCCGGCGTGCTGCACCACGCTGTGGCCGCTCTCCACCTTCACTCCCTTCTCCCTCATCGCCCACCGCATCCCTGCCGCCCACCCCTTGCCTAAACCCATACCCATGGACATGAGATACCCCGCCGACTTGCCCGGCTCCAGCTCCAGCACGCGGGCCGCCGCGCTTCGCCCCACCTCGCCGCCGCCGCCATCCCCGCGCCTCCTGCACGCGCTAAGCAGCGCGCTCCACGCCGCCGGGCTGCCACCGCCACTGCTCCTCCTCACAATCTCCGCCGCGCCGTCCAGGTCCCCCGCGCGCGCCAGCATGTCCACCACGCACGACACGTGCTCCACCCGAGGCTGCAGCGACTGCCGCGCCATGCTTTCCAAGCACCCAATCCCCTCCTCAACCAGCCCTCCATGAGCGCATGCCCACAGAGCGGCCAGCATCGTGACGCCGTTTGGCCTCACCTCATCACCTTCCGCTTCCATCCTGTGCAGGAGCGCAAGGGCGTCCCGTGCGCGCCCGTTCATCCCCAGCGCCCCGATCATGGAGTTCCAGGTGAGCACGTCCTTGACGGGCATCGTGTCGAACACCCTCGCCGACGCGCCCAGCTCGCCGCACTTCCCGTACATGTGGACCAGCGCGTTGCCCACTGCCAGCTCAAACCCCAATCCGCTCCTGACGGCCACGCCGTGGGCGCGTCTCGACGCCCACATCTCCGCGCAGCTGCCGCAGGCCTCCACAAGGCTCAGCACCGTGATCGAGTTGGGGCGCTCCCCAGTCACCAGCATCGCCACGAAGCATGCCATCGCGGCGTGTGGCCGGGCGTTGTGAGCGCAGGCGGCGATGACTGTGCTCCAGGTTATCACGTTCCTCTCGCGCATCCCTTGGAAGAGCCTCAGCACGTCCTCCACGAGGCCGCACTTGCCGTAGGCATCCAGCAACGCGTTCAGCAGAGCCATCGACAAGAGCCGCCTCCTGATGGCCGCGCCATGGACCGACCTGGCTGCCTGACCCCCTAGCCTCTTCTTCTTGCACAGCTGCAGCAGCACCGCAAGCGTCGTCTCGTCGCCCACCACCCCAATCTGCAAGGCCAGCAGATGGAGCGCCTCGGGGTAGCTGCCAGCGTGCACGAGGCCTGAGAGCATGGTGTTCCAGGACACCACGTTCTTGACGGCGATAAGGTCGAACACCTTCCTCGCGGACCGCAGATCGAGACATTTGGCGTACATGTCAACGAGCGAGTTGTCCACGAAGAGATCCCCTTGCAAGCCCCGGCGCGTGGCGACGGCATGCACGGAGGCTCCGGCCCTGACATCCTCCAGCATGGCGCACGCGCGCAGAACCACGACGGCCACGACACCGTCCGGCTGCAGCGCGCCGTCAGCGAGCATCTCCCTGAAGAGGCGTAGGGCTTGATCGGCGTAGCCGGATCCCAGGCAGGCCCCGATCATGGAGGTCCAGGACGCAACGTCTCGGTCGGGCATTTCGCCGAACAGAATCGCGGCGGAGGCGAAATCCCCCAAAGTGGCGTAGAGGGAGAGCAGGGAGTTGGCGACAGGCGTGTGAATGGAGGCGGGCGTCTTGAGAAGATAGGCGTGGATCATGTGGAGGAAGTGGTCGGAATAGGAGGAGGAGGCGCGGAGGAGGGAGAGGAGGGAAGCGATGTTGGGGTGGAAGGCAGCGTGGGCGTGGCGCATGGCGAAGCGGAAGAGGCGGAAGGTGGTGGAGGAGGAGGAGGAGGCAGGGAGGTGGTTGAGGAGGGTATTGTAGGTTAGAGAATCCCTGGGCGTGGAGCGGCAGCGCAGGTGGTGGAGCGCGAGATCGAGGCGCGAGGAGCGGAGGTAGTAGCAGAGGAGGGAGTTGGAGGCGGCGGCGGAGAGAGGCCGCTTGGCGACGTCGGCGTGGAGCTGTGAGGCCAGAGCGCGAGCCCAGCCTGATGATGGCTGCTGCCTGGACAGGAGCCCCAACAACGCCGGGAGGAGCGCCGCCGGCTTGCCGCCCGCGTACCGCCGGACCGCCTCCTCCACCACCACGCCCGCCGTCGCCATATTTTTCGTTTCCACTCCTCTTCTTACTTGTTACACTACATGGGCAGCATATCTTGGTACCAAATACAACTTAAATTAAATTAATTTTGATCCCTGTCAAATTTATTCGATTGGAGCATTGGAGGGAGTACTAAAAAGCAATGTATAATAGTTTGTTAACATTGGAGGGAGTTCTAAATTGAAAATTAATGTTTTTGTTTTTGTACCTAAAAATGTGTACAAGCGAGTTGTTAAAGGTTAATATATATACATGAAGAGCAACTAAGAAAATGATGAAAATCAATCAGTGAAATCACCCATGGCCTTCCAAATTAAGGGGGAACATAACATGGGAATCCAACCAAGAGAGAGAGAGAGAGAGAGAGCTAGGCAACTAGTAGCTAGAATGAGCAGATGGAGGAATTAAGGTTGGGAGTTGGGAGGAGGCGTGGTGGTGGTGGCTCTTTGCTTGTCTTCCCATGGCTGGGACTGGGAGGCGACGTGGTCGAGGGCTCGGGTGACGTCTGTCATGGAGGGGCGGAGGTTGGGGTTGTCGCGGAGGCAGAGCGAGGCGACGACGGCGAGCTGGTAGAAGGCGCGGCGGGGGTAGCGGCCCTGCAACGCCGGGTCGGCCAGGGCGAAGCACCTCTTGCGGTCGCCGGCGAGGTAGGGGCGCGCCCAGTCCCGGAGGAGGAGGAAGCGCTGGTGGTCCTCCGACTCCGAGTCGGAGGAGGCGGCGTCGAAGGCCCTGCGTCCAGTGATGAGCTCGAGGAGCACGACGCCGAAGCTGTAGACGTCGGACTTGACGTTGAGCTTGCCGCTCATGGCGTAGTCGGGCGCGCAGTAGCCGTAGGTGCCCATGACGCGCGTGGACACGTGGGTGTCGTCGCCGACGGGGCCCAGCTTGGCGAGGCCAAAGTCCGACAGCCTGGGGTTGAGGTCGTCGTCGAGCAGGATGTTGGACGCCTTGAGGTCGCGGTAGATCACCGGCGGCGTCACCACCTCGTGCAGGTAGCGAAGCCCCCTGGCCGCGCCGACCGCGATCCTGACGCGCGCCGCCCACCCCAGCGCCAGCGGGGGCTCCTGCGGCCTCCTGCCGAAGAGGTGCGCGTCGAGGCTGCCGCGTGGCAGGAACTCGTAGACGAGGAGGCGCTCGCCGGCGTCGGCGCAGTAGCCGACGAGGGAGACGAGGTTGGGGTGGTGCAGCATCATGAGCATCATGCATTCCACCAGGAACTCGCGGGTTCCCTGCGCGCCACCGTGGCAGAGCTGCTTCACGGCCACGAGCCCTTGGCCGCCTTCCTCGAGACGCCCCCTGTACACCCTGCCGAACCCGCCCTCGCCGACAACGTTGGACTCGTGGAACCCGTCCGTGGCCGCCGACAGCTGCGCCAGCGTGAACTTCTTCGCACCGCCCGCCCCCGCCGACGCCGCCTGCGCGGCCTGGCTGCACGGGCTGCCGCCGTCATTGCTGCCATGCCAGCACCGCAGGCTGGGGTTCCACGAGAAGCAGCTCATCCCTTCCTTCATTCATCTATCCTATCCATTCATGTCATCAACACAAAAGCTTTCATCCTCGACTCGACAAAACCAAAAATTTGGAGGACACACGAGGCTCTTCTTAATTAAGCAACCAGACAGCTTAATCGATCGATCGATGCTTAAACTACATCTATATTTAGATACAGCCCAGGACGCGCAATTCATCCAGGACAGAGCACAGGGCATTCTTCTGAGTGTTGTTAGCTGGCATATGTACATATATAGATACATAAATTTCACAAGAACATTATTATGTGTTCACGGCAGAATAGATCAGATTATTTTTGTAAGCTATATATCAGTATAACAATAACAAACTTTTGGAACAGAGTTATAAAGTGGAGGCGAGCTTCATCCCCTGCTTCACCAAAAAGAACATCTGTCGCAAACTCACAAGGAAACACAGTGATCATGGGGAAACTGTTTTAATCCCTCGAGGAGATATTCCCTCGTTCTTTGTATGTCACTTAAATGGTTATAAAAAAATTTAAAAAAAATGGGAAGGTGTATTAACATGTGATATAACACTCCATAAACATACAGGTTCAAATTCAACTTCTACATCTCGTAACGAAAAAAACAAATTGAATAACAGCTAGTTAACGTATATTCAGAGTTAAATTTATTTTTTTCGTTGCGAGATGTAGAAGTTGAATTTTTACTTGCATGTTTTGTGGAGTGATATATCACATATTAATACATTTTCTTAATTTTTTTTCAAATTTTTTATAACCATTTGAGTGACATGCAAACAACGAGAGGATATCCCCTCGAGAGGGATCAAAATCCTCTTCCGTGATCATGCCATTGCCATACAAAATGCATCCAACAAGGCGCAACTGCTGTTACAAGCGCAGGCATCTTATAATACACCACTTCTTTTAAAAAATGTAATTCGGTTTCTTATAAAGTCACCACACCAACGGTTTGTGGCAGGGTAGCAACACGATGCATACTTATTAAACACACACAAACCTAAAGGCGAGGGATATAGTTTAAGGGCAGTCCAAACCCTCCACCTAATATGGTGTCTATAGCGTTAACTACATTGTCATGTAGGACTTTTAACTTATGTGGCACTATATTAATTAAGAGAGAGAGAGTGAAGAGTGGAAGAAACTGGGTCTCATGCAAGACACAGCTTCAACACGAGAACCTATGCACTAGACACTATCAAGTTTTGCATTGGGAGAGAATAATGTCTTCATAATAGGCGAAGAATAAATATGATTGGCAGAGAAGAGAGATGATGTATTTATTAATGGCCCACTCTAAGAAATCATGGGTTGTGGGGTGTAGTTTCTATTGTGATGTCTTATTGACATGGCACTATAGACATTACTTATAGACATTATGGGTTGGGACTGCCCTAAGCATGCAAAGTGAAAGCTAAACTGGAACACAGCTGCTCAAGGCCAGGGCAAAGTAGATGCCTGGATCAAATAGTTCATTGCCTGGCTCGTGAATCGTGATTTTGTCCTGCTGGCCTCCTCTGGGGTTGATGGGAACAGCTCCATGTACCTTGTCCCAATGGTCATCTTGTCCTTGCATATGGCTGTCTTCGCAACCCCTGTTGTTGAGAACTCCATAGAGGGCCTTCCCATCTAGACGGTACGCGGTGTGCACATTTTCCTCCGTCAACTCATACTCTACAAAGAACTTGATGATGTCTTCAGCGGTAGTAAAGTAGGGCAGGCCACGGAGCTTGAGCACATCAGGTGGTGTTCTTTTCTCTTGAAGATGAAGATTAAGTTTTTTACGTAAAACGAGGTGGTATTAACGTATGATTGATTGAGTTTTAATTATTATAAACTTGAAAAATAGATTAATATAATATTTTAGAGCAACTTTCATATAGAAAGTTTTCGCACGAAACACACCGTTTAGCAGTTTGAAAAGCCTACCACAAAAATCTTAATCTTCATCCGACTTTTGTTGGAGAAAAGAATGGGACCTCAATATATTCCATGTTGCTCGTCTTCAGCTGGTTTCTTGGGCCGTGGAGGAGGTGGGGAGTGACGATACTTTGAGTCGAAAAAGCCGTCTTGGTTCACCTCAGCAGCTATTGAGCTGTAATACTCTTGCTTCTTGCATCTAAACACCTCAACATACCTCCTGCCCATGTTCTACCGGTTGCGGTGCAGTGCAAACTCTCCTTGCATGGCTGATGGGAAGACGACAAAAGCCTCGTCGGTGAAGCAGCCATTCTTGTGAACCAAGAGGCAGTCCACTATGTCCAGCCCAACAAAGAACTTGCAAATGTCAAGATCGCCGCAGTCAAAGGGGAGCCCTAGTAGACGGACCCCTGAAAAGTTCTGGATGGCACTATTAGCTCCTGCACTAGGTAAGTTGGCCTGGTAGGGCTAGTAGAAGGCATTGGTGCCATCAGCAGCACTGTTGCCCATGGCTCCAAAAATAGAGAGGGGTTGGTTCCATCATCCTGGCCCTCTTTGATACATCCAAGGGACTGCCTGCGGTCACTGCGAAGTATGGATTGGATTCCATCATTCGTAGCCTCTTTGATCCCTCCTACCCATCCAAACCCCCCTCCCCCCCTCCCATCATTGCCCATCATTGCCCTTCAGATAATCCAGAGTCCCAAAAAGAGAAAAGAAAAAAAAAGAGAGGAGAAGATCCCCCCATCTCTCAATCCCCATTTCATATAAAATAACCCAAACATAAAGAAAACCGCGCAGATAAGAAATACCAGTAATCTAAACAGGACTTAAGGCTAAAAAAGGTGAATGGAGTCGAAATGCGAACGCATTAGTGGTCATAAACAAAAACTAATTAAATGTTGACAGCTTATGAAATGCTCAAACTACTAGATAACACATATCATTAGAAAATAATCTTACAAACCACATTGGTGCAGTTATCAATTTGGATGTAAGTCAGCTATTACTGCCTCTGATTTATTTATTTTTTGGGGGAGGGGTTTGGTTTTGTAGGGAGGGGGGGACGTACATGTATCCTAAATACTAGGCATATGATATCATATCATATCATATTATGATAGCAAAGCAAAGTGACCTACTTTTAGATGGGGACTAAGAAATTGTCCCTAAAAGAATCGAGAAATTGATGAGATCGCATAAGCAAGCAAGTAAGCGTGGATTCGTAGTATTGTAGAAAAAAAAAGAAAGCAATGGATGAATCGGCGGGATGGAATTGCAGGGATAAGAGAGAAGGAAGAGGAGGAGGAGGTGACCGTACATGGCGAAGCCCGCTGGAGGAGGGGGTGGGGTGGCGGTTCACGATAGGGAGGGGAGGAAACCCTAGAGCGAGAGGGAGTCGTCAAGTCGCCGCCTCTGCGATTGTGTTGCAATGCGCCTCGCATCGCCCAAGTAGTCGTCTCTAAATTCTAAATACAACCTATACGCTATATGCATAGGACGAGGAGGAAGAGCTCATGACCGAACTGCATTTCTTGTTGCTGGGTCTGGATTAGGCCTATTACTTCTATTTTATTTTTTTCTCTAGACCAAAATAACCCTGCCTAATTCTCTCCTTTCTCCCACGCCCAAATCGCGCACTTCCCCTGTTGAGGAGGGAGGCGACGTCGCCCGTCTCTCCGCGTCGGCTCCGGCGCCGACCCACTCCCCTCCTCCGCCGCCATCCATCTATTCGCGCCGCACCGCCCGCTCAACTCTTCCTTCGCGCAGGCGGCGGCGGTGGCGCAGGCGGCGTCTTCCTCCACCTGATCCACCTCCACTTCCTCCGGACCGCACAAGAATAAGAAGAAGAAGAAGTGCAGGTACGGTGCAGGTGCAGATCCAATTGCGAGCTCACCTGCTCTGCCCTGCCCACTACCAAGTAGTAGCCTCCTCCTCCTCCCCTTTCTCCCCAACATCCCATCCCAAATCAAAGGCTACTAGACTAGTGTTGGGGGAGATCCAAGAGATGGCGCGGAGCCCCTGCGACCTCCGCATCCTCCTCGTCGCCGCCGCTGCAGCCTTCATCTACATCCAAGTATGCCTATGCCTATCACAATCTGATTCTTCTTCTTCAACTTCAGATCAGGATCCCCCCTCTCCTAACCACCACTCTACTACTCTCTCACTACACATAATGGCTTCTTTCTCCTTGTTTCAGGTCCGCCTTTTTTCTACTCAGTCCCACTACGCCGACCGCCTCGCACAAGCAGTCAGTCTCTCTACCCCCCCCCATCTCAATATACTCCCTCCGTTTCAAAATGTCTGACACCGTTGACTTTTTAGTATGTGTTTGACCATTCGTCTTATTCAAAAAATTTGAGTAATTATTTATTCTTTTCATATCATTTGATTCATTGTTAAATATACTTTCATGTACACTTATAGTTTTACATATTTCACATTTTTTTAATAAGACGAACGGTCAAACATGTGCTAAAAAGTCAACTGTGTCAAACATTTTGAAACGGAGGGAGTATATATTTTTGGTCTGCTCAAACTCACTAATTGCAATTTAGGAAAAATCCGAAAACCAATGCACCAGTCAACTCCGCTCCTTGATCGATCAAGTCAGCTCTCAGCAGGAGAAGATTGTCGCGTTGGAAGGTACCACACATTTATCACACTAATTTAAGCCTTGCCTCTACTATTCGCGACCTATAAATGTTGTGTCTCTCATGTTTTGGTAACAACAGAGATGAAGATACGCCAAGACGAAGAACGTGTACACCTCAAGATTTTAATCCAAGATCTCGAAAGTATGAAAATGACCTTTCTTATCTTTCACCTATGGATTTCAGCCACAACTGTTCCTGCTACCAAGTGTTTGCTACGTTACTTGATTTTTCTCGCGCCTCCTAATGTTTCCATTAAAACCTAACCTTGTGATACTCATACTGGAGCCTCATGCACATCGACCTCCATGTGACATGCATGGTTGACAACACAACAACATATGACCCGATGTTTCTTCTTGAAATTCACATGTTTTTTTTCCTATAACCAATAGAACTGAAAATTAGTATGTCTTCTGGAAATATTTTTACAACTACTTATTTTTTTTAAAAAAAAATGGAACTACGAAAATGATGTCAATCCATCAGTTAGTCAGTTGTTTAGTTAAACAATCATTCATAAATGCCCAAAATATAATAGTGGAACATCAGGACCGTACATATCATTCTAGTTGTCATCTTCACGTTGAATACAAAATAATAGTTTCATAATCCTCCCATCTACCCCAAATATAGAGGTTATGTTTCTCATTACCATTTGACATGTCACTGGCGTGTGGCTCTGGGTCCCACATGCCATTCTCATATGTGGTAGTGCCTTTCAGTTTACACCCATTCGCAACGTGCTGAACTAATTTTCTCAAACATAAAGATGACCCATCGTATGATCTCAATCCTCCCAGCTGCCATCTACATATTTAACCCGTCATTGTGATTTTACTTTACCACATGCTACTTTTTGTTTCTAACTATTTCTTCAACATTTCTTTTGGATGCAGAAAGGAGCGTGCAGACCTTAGTAAACAACAATGTGGTTTGTACAGTGCTAATATTGCTAGCATTCCTCTGCTATATTTGACTAATATGATCTGTTTCTATAAGCAGGCTCCTGTTGCTGCTGTTGTTGTAATGGCTTGCAATCGACCAGACTATTTGCAAAGGACAGTTGAATCTATCCTGAAGTATGCTTTGTGCCTTCATTCCTTTATTTTCAGAATCCAGATTTTTTTTGGTCTGTTATTGTTTTTTCTAACTCCTAAGTTGGTGCCAAAACCCACTCAGTCGATATCACCTGTGAAAGTTATGCATGGAATCATGCTGCATTGTAATTGCCACGCTGCTCATGGTGCATGAATGCATAATGTCTTTTTCTCAGAAATTGTCCATGCGATGTCACAAGGAAAATTACACATTTTACTTCCTAATCCATATATGAATCCCATTGTGAGCTCCATGTAGCTTAAGTTCGTATAATACCCTTCTGACCTAATGATTCTTAATAATTTTTCCAGGTATCAGACATCAGTGGCTTCAAAGTTTCCACTATTTATATCTCAGGTACTGGTCTTAGCAATTTCAGTTCTTGCTCTCAGTCTCTCTAAGTTTGTGGATTTTTTTCCATTGCTCATTGTAATTGCAGGATGGAATAAATGGAGAAGTGAAGAAAAAAGCTTTGAGTTATAATGAAATAACATATATGCAGGTGTGGAACTCTTTCTTCCTCTACACTTATTTGCCTAAAAATAAGAAGAAATATACTTCTGTAATATTGCAAGCATAGCTGGAGTATTGTCTGAGGACCTTTTCCAAGTAACTACATAAGATGATATGTTGCAAAAGAGGGGTTAAAAAGAAAGGAAGAAACTGTAGCCTGCCAAGAGGTTTTAAGTGGACCTAGATTGAGGTTGCCCTTGAACTTTAAGATCCATGAGTCATATCAGGGAAACTCTAGGTCCAATGGATATAAACTGAGCAGTGAGAAGCAAGGCCATAATCATACCCCAAACTTGTGGATGTATTGTTTGAAAGGGAAGCTTGATGCCACTGTACTGTAGTGAGTAGTGACCCTATGCTGTTCTGGAATGGGGCAGTGGAATTGGTCCAATATGAAATAGTATGGCAAAGGTAATAAAATCCATATATAGAGAATCAACGGGAAGGGATGGCAGCTCACTGAGGTGACTGCTCAGTTGACAGTACTGAACTTGTATTTAGTTGACAAATTATCATTACAATTTAGTTTAGATAAAATAACGGGTATGCTAGCTCCTGAAAAACCAAATGGCCATATGTAGAGTAACAACCATGTCATGGAGTGGAAGTGGTAGGATAATCATCAGTGTATGCTGTCATAAAGTGCCAGAGTGCAGATTGAAGTCTAGCAATGAAGTGTTATTGCAAAAAAGAGAAAATCTTGTTCTCTGCCTTCAGCGCTAATAGAGAATGAAACCACGAATACAATATTTCCTGCTGTTATGAAATGATTGTAAACATATTATCACATGTGTACTTTTATAGTGATTTTGAATGATTGTAGCTTCCCCCCTCCACATAACATAGGCATGCAGCAGTCCGATATTTGTAAGAAACATGGGAAATATTTTTCAGCTAAGACTCTCAGTGGTATGTGTTGCAGCATTTAGATCTTGAACCTGTGCGCACTGAAAGGCCAGGAGAGTTGATAGCATATTACAAGATAGCCAGTAGGTGGTCCTCCTTGATTGATGTATGCTGATTGAAGATAGTGATGATACCACTGATCCTTGTCCTGATAACTTTCTTATTTCAGAACATTACAAATGGGCCTTGGATGAGCTATTCATCAAACACAACTTTGCGCGAGTAATAATTCTGGAAGGTGTTACACCTTGGATGCTCTTATAACTATTTTGTTCTTTGATCTGTCTTCTTTCCATCCCATTTATGGTTAATAATTTGCTAATAGATGATATGGAGATCGCCCCTGATTTTTTTGACTACTTCGAGGCTGCAGCTAAATTACTTGATAACGATAAGTATGTTGTATATTATATATTAATTATAGTTGGAAAGCCAAGGATTTCATCTGCAATGTATCTAATTGCTTTGCTGCTATTCCTGTCACTGTGGTATTGAAGGACAATCATGGCCGTTTCTTCCTGGAATGACAATGGACAAAAGCAATTTGTTTACGACCCAAGTTAGTACTCTGATAGACCTGTATAAAAGTTCTGTTCTGCATTAATAGGGAAAGCTACTCATTTTCCTACATAAACATTTTGCAGAAGCTCTTTACCGGTCGGATTTCTTTCCTGGACTTGGATGGATGTTAACAAAGCCTACATGGATTGAGCTGTCACCTAAGTGGCCCAAAGCATATCTTTACTGTTGCCTACTAATTTTTATATTAGCATATACAATATTTTCCATCTACCATATATTTCTTCCTTAACAAGACTTTACTTATTGGGATGACTGGGTGAGGCTAAAAGAGGTACACAGAGACCGGCAATTTATTCGCCCGGAAGTCTGCAGAACATACAATTTTGGCGAACATGTATGTTGGCTACTTCATCAATGCAAAAATTACCACATTTCTGCACACTAGTAGCCACTGGATAGTAATTTAGTCTTTGAGCCAGTAAGTATGGATGACTTGAATTTACACTAATAGATTTTCATACCTCCTTTTCAGGGGTCAAGCATGGGGCAATTCTTCAGACAGTACTTGGAACCAATCAAGCTAAATGATGCCCATGTATGCAAACCTTCCATCACCTTTTGTTTTGCTTAACTGTTGCAAATTCTTTAGTGCAGAGATTTACCATTTTACCTCTTCCTTCTTTGTGGCTATAGATCAAGTGGAATTCTGAGGACCTGAGCTACCTCAAGGAGGTAAGAATTTGTTTGGACTTTGAAACAGTAGTTTGCAGCAAATGCCTAATATTTATGTTGGCAACACCAGGACAAGTTCCTGATCCAATTTGGGAAAGACGTCGCTAGTGCCACCCCTCTCCATGGATCTGATGCCGCGTTGAAAGCCCACAATATGGATGCGGATGTAAGGATCCAGTATAACGATCAGGAAGACTTTGAGCGGATAGCTCGTCAATTTGGAATATTTGAAGAATGGAAGGTTTACTTCTTTGACCCCATTTTTATTCATAAATAATGCTCTTGTCAAAGTAGGTCAAGTGACAATTTTGTGTCTGATGTTTTCAGTGGTGATTGTTAGGTCTAGTAGAAAATGTTTCAGTTTGCAGTTTTGATCTAGATAGACATCAGCCCCGTGAATGGTCTATAATTTTCTTTGGACTTCTCTGTTTTTTTAGTGTGTGATGATTCATGTATGTCTGTTTTCTCTGTTTTTCAGGATGGCATTCCAAGAACAGCTTATAAAGGAGTAGTAGTCTTCCGGTACAAGAGTAGTCGAAGACGAATATACCTCGTTGGTCCGGATTCCCTCAGTCAGCTTAGGGTATAGTGTTGTTGAGGTGTGGAGATAGTTTCTCATTGTTTCAGATACAAGCGGCAGCACCTCACCTGACCACTGAGCAGAGCTGACCTGCCTGACATTTTGCTGTATATGTGATTCATCACGTGAGATTCATACATAGACGACTTCCATTGCACCGAAAGCTTAAACATCACATCGTGTTCTGTGTTTTGTTTGCCATTGAAAACTGCCTGTAATGTAGTTTTTGAACTGGACATATGCTAGAATGAAGGGAAATGAGATACTAATTGATATTTGATGAAGACACTTGCATAACATGGTGACACTCGGCCACCATGGAGAAGAGATGCACATAGGTCACTCATTATTATTTATTAATATCAATAATAACAATAATTCTCAGCATCTTAAAAGACGAGTGGAGAGAAGATCGTCAACGAATTTCAACCATGATGCCATAGCAAACGAGCTTAAGTGAGTACAAATTGTAGTAGCTACTGAGTAAATCTGAGTACAAACTGCAGCAGTCGAGTACAAAGCGATATACCGTACTATCAAATAAGCACGCCCAAGCAATACACTGCGAGAGTTTGATCTATCCTTTTTTCCCCTATGACTCCTTTCTACACTAGATGATGCCTTATTCATCGGTTTGGATGGTCAGGTCCTGTATGCCCAAATCTTGATATAATCCATGCACATAGTCGAGCACGGACTGGCAATCACCACCATTCTTCACCTATACACACAACACAACCAAAACGCGAACTCAGTCACTAGGGGCTAGGGGCTTGTTTAGATTGTAGCCAAAATAAACCTTACCAAGTTTTGGTAATACCAAAATTTTGGTGGCAAGATGACAATATTGCCAAATTTTTAGCAGGATTTTTTTATGTATTTACTAAATTTGGTAACAAATTAAACGTAGACATTTTTTTTGGCAACTTTAACCAAAAATGGTATGGTTGAAAATGACATCAAAGTGAATAGGCCCTAGGGTAACCACAACAAGCTGTCTGTTAGTGTTAGGAGGCTTGGCGTAAAAGATGTACCCGGATGTCGAGAGATCCAACAGCGTGACCAGGTACAAGCTCCCAAAATCGACCTTGACATACTTCAGAAACATCCTCGCACGCAGTTATCTGGTGAGCAAATACAATACATACGGAAATGTCTCAAAGAAGCTTTGGGCTTGCCAAAATGAACTGAATAATATGCAAAACCAAACCGTGTACCTACCTGTCTGAAGCACTTGGTAAGAGCTGAAGGTGGCACATTGCCTGGTGCAATTTGCAGAAGGATATTACCAGTAGCCTTAAAGAGTGGCAAAACAAGCATGAACACTGCCACTGAAACAATTCCCAGGCACAACACTTCCGCATTTTCAACCCTTAAAAGCAGTAGGCATAAAGTCATTTTAGGATTAAGTGCCAAGCTAAAAGTGACCGTAACATTAGAGGGGCACAGAAAATTCGTCAGAATAGATTTACCCCAATGAAAGAAACCAGGAAGCTAGTATCAAGCCTGCACTGATGGAGGATTTACACATGTCAACTAAAAATAACTAACTTCGTGACTACAGAAAGAGCAAATATTATAAGGGAAGAGGCACAGTGACATGAGAGTATCTCATACCTCCGTACTGAATCGGCAAGAACATGCAAACATACAGAGTGATAATTCATATCCTCTGCTTTCCTGTAAACTGGCATTAATAGACAACAATTGATCAATGATGTTTCGATTGTGAAACTTAGATTTTAGATATGTATACACTGGCATCTGTACAAGAGGTGACTCTGGATTGGATACTGGAGTACTTACCTATGTTAACACGAGCATAGCTCCGAAAGAACCAAACACCAAGTAAATTAACCAAAAGGTTTGTGACAGCAGAAACAATGAGATAATGCCTGAAAGTATATATATATATTTTAGTTTTAGAAGAATAATAATATTAGCCAAAACGATTGGGATTATATTACACTAAACAAAAAGGAAAAGGCATTTACTTATGCTCAGACTCATCTTGCATAAATGCATGTAGTGCTTCAACAGCCAAGGAGAAAGACAGGAAGAGCAGGAAGAGCTGTCTAGAACAAAGAAGAAGCATATGGATGGAGGTGGTCAAAATATATCTATACTAATATAAAAAGGAGGAGTTTTGCCTAGCAATCCTATGGTGAAATCACATGCACCCAGGCCCACGCGTCATATCCCTATTTCTAAATTTAGACAAACCCATATGCAAGCAAGTATTTAGGCAAAAAAACTATTATATGTTTTGAGAAAATTCCTGCAGGTAAGATGAAAATTAGAAAACTGCATGCACTTTATGAAATTTGTGCGGTTTGTGTCATTGGGGATTGATTTTGCTTTCCCCGCAAGAAGAAAAAGCACTAAACACATTGTATTTAGAGAGATTTTAGTTCTTCTATGATGGTAAGCTTTTTAACCATTAATTTCATATTTTGCTGAAACTGAATGATAATTGATTATTTTGAGAATTTGACAGTATATCAGTCCCATTATCGAAGGCATAGAAACAAAATAGTCCACACTAGAATTCAATTCATCTAAGTTGCACTAGGTGATGTGTACTGGACTAACAAATCTTTCCATGTTTATGCAGGTTCTGTTGCTTTCGAGGGATATGATGAGCTCATTACTGCACTGCTATTTTGTATGGTAGTTTTGCACTTCGCATTTGAGGATGTTAGTATAGATATATCCTGAAACATGTCATGCGTTTTCAGCTTCATGAAAATATGAAAATTTGCATAGCTGAAAATCTGCATGTGTTGCTTCATGATGTACCTGCAGGAGCTTTTACTTTTGTATAATTCACAAGGTTGCATAGCTGAAAATCTGCAGTCTGAACATTTCTTCTTCAAATGACATCCCATAATTAAATGTCAAACTGCTTCTTTCCGGCTTATGTATTTTCTTAGTTTGCATGGTGAACAATCTGTTCTGATTTTTTTATGCTTGCATATTCTGTAAATTGGCATTCAAGCAGCCAACAAGCATCTGAAGGTATCTGATATACAGAGCTCAGTTGTGTGGTCTATCAATACTGATGTTCTCTATCGAATTTGTTTTGATCCTTGGAAAGATAATATGCCTAGCACATTGTCTTCCTGAGTTTGTGTACACATTGTGAACTTATATATAGCTACAAACTTACCGCATGTATAATTAAAATCAGCAGCAATGTCCATTAATCCATACATGAATATATCTCTCTGGCTTGGATGTACAAAGATCATGTCCTCTCTCTCTCTCTTTGTCTATAGGTGGAGTGAGCTTCTCTTTGAATCTGTGGTGCTTCATTTTACTTATATTTTATAAAAGGAGATGTGCTGAGATTCAATTCCATGTTGCTCTTTGCTTCAAGGTCATTAGCATTTTTTTCCAGCCCATTAAATGTTGTGATTACATGTCTGTTGCTGAAATGTTATGTAGGCTGTAATAGGGTTTTGGATGTATCGTGTTGCCTTTGTGACTTGCCCTTTGAAAGTACATAGATGTACATAAATGGATCAATTTATATTGTAAGTTTTATTCAGATTGGACCTACATTGTTTTCCTACCAATTTGACGCATGATTGAGTTTTCAGGTCAGGTACACCATTGAGCTCCCTTGAATTGTGCTGATTACCAAGCTTCCTGAGATACGCAATCTGCTCATTGTACAAAACTTCTTCCTACAACATACTTTGTCAATTTTCCTTGGAGTGTCATATAATCCTCCATGTCAATTACCTTACCCATAACTACTGCATTAATTTTCAATTTTGTTGCTAACTGCAGCTCAATACGCATATATGTTTAAGCACCATCTGAATATTGGAAATAACATGGAACCACAATTTGTGTAGATGTAAAATTTTCAGCATTAGTAAATGGTGCTACAGATTTTGCCTTTGATGGACTATTGGCGCTGGATGTATTTGCTTTTCATCAAATAAAGCTCTTGTTTCTTAATTTGCTGATGGCACAATTTTTTTTCTTGGCAGGAGCTCTGCAAAGCATTTTCATTTCTCATTGGTCATTTATGCAAACCAATATATCTTTCCCAAGTTTTAGAAGCTTCTGGAGATATATATTATTGTGAGGGAATAATAATGTTGCTCATGTTAGCAGCTGAGAACTCTGCCATCTGAATTAAAATATAACCCATGATAAATAGTGAGAATCTATTCTCAAATATTTACATCCCACGCTCTTTTTATCCTGAATTATGAAGCCCTGTATATACACGTGCAAGACATTTTCCTATCCAAGACGATGTTGCTGAAACTATAAATGTTCATAAATGTTCAGAAAGGAAAAAACCTTTTAGCGCAGGTATAGAGCACTATCTTGAGAGAAAAAAATACAAGAAATATTCAGAATCTCTTTTTACATAGCATTTGTGTGGCTTCTATGGGTCAGCTTTATTGTAGGTTGGTTTCCTTAAAGTCAATTTATTATGTTTATTTGTGTAGATTTAGCATCAAAATTAAAAATGTCACTAGCAAGATAATGTTGAAATCTTGTGGTATAGATTATATACAACTGATCTGACAGGTTTGGTGCTATATGATTATTGCTCTTCAGTTTAATTTGTGTGTTCCCCAGAAAATATTAGTAATTAATTATGTTAAATGCATCATTCTAGAAAGAATATAATGTTTTTTTATTATAGTGATAGAGATTGCCAATACTTTCTGCCAATAATTCTTTTTGCTTTCTCTCCCATTGTATTGGCGTTTTTCAGGATGTCCATACTGGACAGCAATGTCAACAAGTCACTAGGTGAATAGGCATATACTGACATTCATAACCAGGTGACCAAGGACGTTATAACGTATATTGTGGACTCAGTTTTTCTAATTAGAAACTTTACACGAGTTATTTGAATGTCAAATAGGCATACATCTGTTGCTTGAGGTTTCCAAACATTTATCAAGCTATGACAAATTGTATATTTGGTACGATTGGTGGTTCTTTTACATAGTTAGTGTAATGGGAGAGATATGCGGCATATTAAAATTCGTATTCCTATGCCCCGTTTAATATGCATGGTGGAAAACACAATAAACTCATATATAGTAGTAGAGAAATGTAGAGGGATGGGCATGGCAATGACATGTTGAAAAGCTTACGGCATTTGTAAAGGCAGCAAGGACCTCCAATCTTTTATAGCTGAATAAAGGCAGCAATGAATCAGTGGGAGTGGAAGATTAAAGAAAAGAGGAGTAAATTGAGGGAGGGAGGCACCCGTAGGTGTAGAGGTGATCAGGTTTGGTTCTGGAGGCAGCCATGGCAAACAAGGAGAAAGTGAGGATTCCACAACCAAAGGTGAGATGGAAAGCATCGGAGACTAGGCCTGAAACGAATGGAGAAGAGTGTGATTGAGATGAGTAATGAGTAGCAGTAGCAGTAGCAGTAGTATTAGTATTACCGACCTACGCGGGCAGTGAGGAGGCCGATGGCGAGCTCGGTGGCGGAGTAGGCGACGTTGAGAGCGATGAGGAGGGCGAGGCGGCGCATGGGGCGGGTGGCGAGCCAGCGGAAGGTGATGGCTCCGGTGGGGGCGAGGGACGGGGGGGGCATGGAGATGGAAGAGTCGGAGCGGGCGAGGCGAGGCATGGAGGAGGAGAGCTGGCGGGAGAAGGCCAGTCGCCGGTCGCCGCTGCCGACGACGCCATAGTTGGGATTCCAACCCTTGGGCGGCTCATCCATCGCCATCTTCCTCCCTCCTCTAGTCTTCTCCCTCGTCACGAGACAGATCTAGGTCTAATCTAATGGGCCTGTCACACGAAGCCCAAAGGCCCAACAATATTCTCCCTCCATCTAATGGAGGGGACTGTCTGTCAGTTCAGTTTCGAATCGGATCGGATGGTCCCTCCCTCCCGCCTGAAATGTCCTTACGACTAGTTTTCGCTTTACCGACTGAAGAAAGCACACAGCCAAATGCCATTTTACCGATCCACTGAGCCCAAAGAAGAAAGCACACAGCCAAATACCAATAAATTGGATTAATACATAATGATCTCTCTATCCATGGAGCCAGCAGCAACATACTAACAACAATTTCACCACGACAAAACAACATACAGATACAGTGCTGAGTGCTCACATGATACCATCAAAAAAACCATCATCCCAACAAGCATAACTGACCACCCACAATGACAAAAGAGATAGTATCACCCCGACCAGCATCCATCACTACAAGTGACCAGGATGAGAGTGCTATGCTATCTGCAAATAAGGAATAGCTTCATGAGTGCTATCTATAATTAAGTAACAGGTTCATGACACCATCTGATACCATTATAATGACATTAATAGTTGATGTAGTAACAAATTCATCTAGTCGCTTCTACCTCTTTCAGCAGCAGCAGCAGAAGGTAAGAACTACTACAAGTTGTGCTGTGTGGTATCATCATAACAAATACGCAAAGAAACACCAAAGATAGCACAGAATGGTAGAAACATATTACATTGTAAATACGATGATCCACTTGTTATGCGACAACATACAATTGTAAGCCTCCCAAAACAAGTCCACATCACGCGGCCTCAATCTGTCATCGACAATTATGTATGTACAGTACTGATAACCGCTATTGCATTCCAGTGTCCATCTCCCATCAATCCATCTCCGAAGCATCAACCCCGATCTCTTCGCCAGTCCTCTCTGACCCTGCAACTACAACATCTGCATTGTCTTGCACGATCTTCTCTGACACTGCTGCATCAGCAACCTCCTCTGCATTGTCTTGTGCACTAGCCTTGTCTGACCCTGCTGCATCAGCAGCAATCTCAGTCCTAAGATCATCCCTCTGAACAAGTATGGGATGAGCCATCTCCTTGTCATGGTCAACTGCAACTGCATCTGAATTCTCAATAGGCATACCATCAGTCCCTGCAAAACGCGACTCGAGTGCCTCCAGGCGGCGCCTCATGTCGCCAAGCTCCTGCTCCATCAAAAAGAGCCTCTCCTTCAAGGTGAGGTTCTCCTCCTCGAGGCGAGCCACATGGGCTTCCTGGTCATACTCATAGTCATCCTCCTCCTCGAAGAAGACACCGTCACCCCTGGCAGGGTAGACCATCTCAAACCTGCTGAGATCGTGGTCGAGGCGGCGCTCCACCTCGACATGCTCCTCGACGTCACTGCCGCTGGAGTTGGCATCATCGTCGTCATCGGAGGGGTTGGCGGGGTGAGGGGAGGTGCGGAGGCGGATGAGGCCCTTCATGGAGCCATAGCCATCGACGCCCCACTGCGCCTGAGCCATGTCGGAGAGGCCCTCGCGGGAGGGGGAGAGGCGTGGGGTGGGGAGAACGGCGGGGGTAACAGGGGAGGGGGAGACGAGGGAGGCGATGCCACCGGCGCGCTTGGCACGGATGATGAAGGAGGTGGTGTTGCGTGGGGCGGCGGCCTTGGGCCGGGGGAAGAAGTGCTTGCGGGGCCCACCGCCTCCGCCTCCGCCTCCGCTTTGGTTCTTGAACCAGCGGCGAGCCTTGGCGCGGTTCTGCACCTGGAGGTCGCCGAGGGCGGGGGGCTGGTAGCCACCGGCGGCGGTGCTAGGGTTCTTACGCTTCCAGCCGCGGTTGGGCGGAGGGAGGAACGGCGGTGGCTGGGCGGAAGGGTCGTCGGCGGCGGCCCACATGGGGAAGCTTCGGCCCATCATCTGATTAGGATCCATGGAGGCGGCTGCTTCTCTCTGCTTGCTAGTTGCTAGGGGAGAGAGGGATCTGCTGCTAGGGTTAGAGAGATGAAATTAATCAGCAATCCCCTCCCCTAATCAATCAATCTAATATAGTAATGGAGTAGTCTCTTGTTGTTCGTATGCAGGGAGGGAGGGAGGGAGAGGAGGGGATCCGATCTAGAGTAGTAGTATTATGGATTGCGTCTGCGTCGGAAGGAAGGAAGGAGGGCGGAGTGGTCGAATCGACGGCGGATCGGATCGGATCGATTTGCGCCGATTCGACTAACTTCCGTTCCGACCGCAAACCCTAACCCTAGAGCTAGAGAAAGACTCCTTCGTTTCGTTGGTTGTTAGATTGGATTGAAAAGGTGAGAGGGCGGAAGAAGAAGAAGATGACCACTAAATTTGGGGGGTTCTCTCTCTCGTTGTACTACCACTAGTCTACAACTAGAAAGACGGGAATAGAGGGAGGAAGACACGTGGACGGCCCAGATTCGGCGTTCGGAACTCTCGGTCGGTGACGGCCGCACATATATTTGCGTCCAGTTCCCGTGTACTGCTTTCATCTCAAGAAGAAGAAGAACTAAAACATTCATCACACATGTCAAAAAAAAAAACATTCATCACATCAGGCAAGGTATTTTGTCTTACAATTGCATTTCTCTTCCCAAGTTTGTTTTCATACACACACATCACATCACTACCAAACAGCAACTTTACACATTCTACTGTACTATTCTACAACACATCGCTCCCTGGGCCGCACAATAAGCGGCCTCAGCAGCGCGGCGATTAGCAACTACCAAAATGCACGCTTTCTTTCTTTTTCTTTTTTTTTGGGTCTCTCAATCAAGATAAGTGGAGTAGTAGAATAGGAGTAACAAATTACAGCAGCAACAGGAGGGAAGAAGACACAACAGAATACATGTCCAGTGAATGGCAGACAGGCTACTACTCCTTGTTCCGTGTAGCTCGGTCTTTCTTGTGGCCGCCAAGGATTCGCGAGATCTGCAGACCTCTGCTGAAGGCCTGGTTGAAGAGCATTCTGGTCTGGAACTCGGATACAAACGGGAACCAAGCGAGGAACGCGATCGGGGTGAAGAGCAGGAGCCCCATGATGATCTCATATCCCCTCGCAAGCGCCTTGATCGATCCCCACAACCCGATGCGCACAATTACTGGCTTGATAGCTTGCGCAACCTGAACCCAACAACCATCATCAGCTCAAGCAAGCCAAACCAGCCGCTTACAGGCCAAAAACAATTGATATCCACTTACCAACAGCAGACCCCAGCCAGTTGGCATGAAGGCAAGAATGCAAACAAAGATGTCCTGGACTGTCATATGAGGGATTGCTATCAAGATTATAATGATGGAGATAAATGTTATAAATATCAACCCCTTAATCAACCGGAACACAAGTTGGAAGTCCGCGCTGAATTTCCGCCTCCCAACTGACACGGTCTGCAAACATGAGTAAACCAAGGTTCAGTCTGTGTGCACAACACAACAGGTTTCTAACAACTGGTATCATCAGCAAAGCAACTTGACCGCAATGGTCCTCAGGTATTGCAAAGGCATATCTCTAGCATTTACTGCCATAGGAATATAGCAAGAAAACTACCATACTCTGTGCAGCTAAAATTATAATTGTCATACAGAAAAAAGGGTACCCCCTGTGTTCTAACCACAATGTTGCTCATGAGCACCGCGATGAAACACTGAAGAAAAAATATGAATGCTAGGGATTACCTTCATCACAAGCAGAATTACAAAGATGACAACCCATGACAGGCAATAGACCTGGAAAGACCATTAAATAACATTCAAAAGTTGGTTCAATAGCTTGTGCTAATAAGCATAGACCAGGAAAACACCAAGAAATATTAAATGAAGATAGCAAATTACCAGGACACTCTTTGTGTGTTTGGTTATGTTCAAGTGATAAACAAGACCATATTGGTAGATAAAGAAGCGCAATGCAAGCACTATTTCGAGAACAATTCCACGCTTCCCAGAATATTTTATAGGCTCCTGCTCTTTCTCCCACCATGACTCCCAACTTTTCTCCGGTGGTACACCAATACCACCACGGTTGCTGATCCACTTATTCCAATCAGTCCAATCATCCACAATCTTCTGCCACTCGAACCCAGAAGGATTAAATAGGAATGGTGCAAAGAGCCAGGTTACAACCATAAACCACATCGAAAATGTAATGAAGATGTACGCGATAGCTCCTCGATATGATTGCCCAAAGATTTCATACACAATTAGCAAAATCAGCAACTCAATACCCTTGACAAAATGGCTGCGTGAGTATAGTCGATAGTTCTCCGCAAATTTGGCATGGAACACCACAAATCCACGCCCAGTAGCTCTATACTCGGCTCCTCCATGGAGCAGCGTTGTTCCATAGTAGTGAGTTTTGGTCCCGAGAGAGAATGTAAAGAAAACAGATGCTAACTGCAGCTGCATCAGTACAAAGTCGCTCAATGCGGTTCTAAATCCTCTCTCCAGACCAATTTCCATCATCATAGGCAACGCCATCAAAAACCCAAGCTGCACAAAAGACTGTGAAGCAAGAGCAACCTGGAGAGGTTCATTGTGTATAAACCTTTTTCCAGTAGCCAAGGCTTCATCAAGACCACTGAGGACAAGATAGAGACGTCCATAGAGGAATACATACACTGTCCACACTGTCATCTGAAAAGGAAAAGAGGAACTAAAAAGGTTAGGATTAAATGATAGCTCAGAAGTCTGGAAAATCTACGGCAAAGATAGTACCATAGTGCTGAAGTAAAAACCAATAGTGGTGTAGTAGCAGGACAACATTCTGAAGAAATCAAAACGATGTCCAAGTCGGTAGACGTCACGGCTCAGTGTCTGCTCTCCATTACCATTAGCTATTTTTGCCTCAAATAGTGAGATTTGATTGAGACCCACATCTCTCCCCTTGCCAACTTGCATGTATTCATGATGCGTAACATTTCCTTCACGCAGTGTTGAGTTGAATCCTGACACAATGAGACAGATATTAACATAAAAATTTCAACTTTCCCACAACCAAGAAGCAATGGCAAAAAGTTAAACACGCACCAGCAAATATGTCCTCACTAAGATTGATAATCTTGGATGCTTTGCTTACACCACCCCTCGTGAGGTGGAAAAGTCGATCAAAAATATCAGGATGTCCATAATGAAATCGAACTCTGCAGAGAAAGATGTTCAGTTAAGGAGAACATCAACAAAATCTTCATGCTTAGTTACAATGCAATTATCCAAATTCTGTTACTAAATGAAGGAATAACAAACATATGAATCAAAAAAATACACATACTAACATGGGCATATTAAAGCCAAATCCATACAAACATAAAAGCCAAATTTCGTTTGTGTGTGTTTCTCTATGTGAGCTTTTTGCTGCGTGAGCTTTGTGTTTGGTGTTGTCTCTGTAAGACCTTGGTGGGGGGTTTCCTCCACCGTCTTCCTCTCTTAATGAAATGATACGCAGATCTCCTGCGTATTCTAAAAAAAAAATATATCCATAGTAAGATGAATCACCTCAAAGGATTGGCAAGTACCCGTTGTCCAATAGTGACAAAACTTGTCTCTTGATTTGACATGAACCACGCAAGAGAAGAAACACTGCAAAAGCAAACATGCGATCATAGGGTAATTTAAATGAGAAGTAGTATACATAGTCACAAATTTATGGGGAAGCGCAAGTTCACAGCTATACCTGCCAGTGAATATGTGCTCTCTCACACCAAGTATTGATGGATACCTCACACCATCATGTTTCTTCAGAAACTCTTGCAGCAGATTTCTCATTTTCAAAGTCTCCTCCATGTAATGTTCCTATTATGCTTGCCTACATAAGCAAACAGAATAGAAAATGTTTGCAAAACTAGAAGCATCAGTGCTGTTTACCTGATTCATGTCTATAGTTTGAAGGCCTTCACCTCGAGTAAATATTATCGCATGGTTCTGATTTTCTGGCTTTCCTTCACCTAGCATTGCATTACCTGGTAGCTTTATTCTGTATATGTCCTACACAGCAAATGATGCAATTCAAGTAAGTTTTATATGTTCCCTTTTCCCGCAAAGAAAAGTTTATATTAGTAGGTATCACCACCAGATCAGAAAATGCATCTGCTCCAAACATTGTATCCATGATTAGGAATTTCATAAATTCATCGATTCGTTATAAATTAATACTCCATTTGGTACTTTATGTAAGACATTTTAGTTAATGCCAGTTCTCCAAAATATAAGGTGTGTGTGCAGATTTAAATCCTTAGCTCTTAAGCTATTCTCTCCTATGTTTACCGCATTACCAGTTTACCACCAACACAAGTCATTATCTTTCGTATTTGTAGAACACTTAATTGGAAGGGTACTCAAGTGAGTTTCTCTTGTAGATTCATCAAATTCAAAACTTTCTTAACCTTCATAACCAGTCCAACTACAACCTACGAATAGGGTTGTAATCTAACGAAGTGACTAATAAAGACGTACTAATGCAATCACATGAAGCCATAATCATAAAAAATGATTAAATTAAAATCCATTTTCGAAGCACCTGATCAAGTTTCTGACCAGGATCGTCAGGCTTGGTTACAGCTGCCTTCACCAACGCTGAGTAGTAAACCTTTTCTATCTTCTTGTTCCTGTCTTTGCTTGGCTCTTCAACTTCATCAATATAGGCAACCCGAAGTGATGGATAACTGCCAGAGAAAAACTTCCTTTCAATCACTGATGGAATCAGTTGGAAAACCATCACATTAATAGAATACTCCCTCCGTCCCAAAATATAGCAACCTTGTACTGGATGGGACACATCCCAGTACAACGAGATTGCTATATTTTGGGACGGAGGGAGTATAATGTATCACAATGGTCAACTTATTAAACAAAAGTAAGAACATAATAGACATCCAGATTTCCCAAACATGTGTACCCAAAGTGATGGATACTTTGTATCCTGAGACAATCCTGCAACCCTAATGCAAATTTGTATAGTTTCACTACTAACCTTAATTCATATTCCAGAGGTGATGTAAATGGCAAGTTGCCCATTTATATCAGTTTCTCAAAAAGGAAATAAATCATAACCATCACAATCATAGCGAAAAACCAGAAATGAAGTGGGGGAATTCAAGAAGAGGAACTAATGAAAGTTTGGCATGCAACTCTTGATCTTAATACCTACATTCAGAGTTTCAATCTTAATTCTCGAATTGTCACTTACGTTGTCATCAGTCTAAGAATATCTTGTGCACGGTGATCACCAGAACGTTTCTGGATACCGTATTGTTGGCATGATACAACGTATGTAAACTTCATGTCAGCTATAGCTTTGCATTGAGTCAGTAATGGTGATTCATCATTTAAGAGGTCAGCTGCTCTGAAGCCTTCCCTAAGATCTGAGGAAAAGCAAGCAAAACCAATGAATTAAGTGTACAGCCTTCAGAATCAAGAAACAGGCTCAGCCA